TGGGGATGTCGCTTATACAGCTAACATCACTGGTTAGTACCATCGGCCAGTCAATGTAGCCATAGGGATGTCGCTTTTATAGCTAACATCACTGGTAAGTACCATCGGCCAGTCAATGTAGCCATAGGGATGTCGCTTTTACAGCTGACATCACTGGTAAGTACCATCGGCCAGCCAGTCAATGTATCCATGGGGATGTCGCTTATACAGCTAACATCACTGGTTAGTACCATCGGCCAGTCAATGTATCCATAGGGATGTCGCTTATACAGCTAACATCACTGGTAAGTACCATCGGCCAGTCAATGTAGCCATAGGGATGTCGCTTATACAGCTAACATCACTGGTAAGTACCATCAGCCAGTCAATGTATCCATAGGGATGACGCTTATACAGCTGACATCACTGGTTAGTACCATCGGCCAGCCAGTCAATGTAGCCATAGGGATTTCGCTTATACAGCTAACATCACTGGTAAGTACCATCGGCCAGTCAATGTAGCCATAGGGATGTCGCTTTTACAGCTGACATCACTGGTAAGTACCATCGGCCAGCCCGTCAATGTAGCCATAGGGATGTCGCTTTTACAGCTGACATCACTGGTAAGTACCATCGGCCAGCCCGTCAATGTAGCCATAGGGATGTCGCTTTTACAGCTAACATCACTGGTAAGTACCATCGGCGAGCCAGTCAATGTATCCATAGGGATGTCGCTTCTAGAGCTAACATCACTGGTAAGTACCATCGGCCAGCCCGTCAATGTAGCCATAGGGATGTCGCTTATACAGCTGGCCTCACTGGTAAGTACTATCGTCCAGCCAGTCAATGTAGCCATAGGGATTTCGCTTATACAGCTGGCCTCACTGGTAAGTACTATCGTCCAGCCAGTCAATGTAGCCATAGGGATGTCGCTTACACAGCTGGCCTCACTGGTAAGTACTATCGTCCAGCTAGTCAATGTATCCACAGCGATGTCGCTTATACAGTTAACCTCACTGATAATATAAGTACCATCGGCCAGCCAGTCAGTGTATCCACAGCGATGTCGCTTATACAGTTAACCTCACTGGTAAGTACCATCGGCCAGCCAGTCAGTGTATCCACAGCGATGTCGCTTATACAGTTAACCTCACTGGTAAGTACCATCGGCCAGCCAGTCATTGTATCCACAGCGATGTCGCTTATACAGTTAACCTCACTGGTAAGTACCATCGTCCAGCCAGTCAGTGTATCGACAGCGATGTCGCTTATACAGTTAACCTCACTGGTAAGTACCATCGGCCAGCCAGTCAGTGTATCCACAGCGATGTCGCTTATACAGTTAACATCACTGGTAAGTACCATCGTCCAGCCAGTCAGTGTATCCACAGCGATGTCGCTAATACAGTTAACCTCACTGGTAAGTACCATCGGCCAGCCAGTCAGTGTATCCACAGCGATGTCGCTTATACAGTTAACCTCACTGGTAAGTACCATCGGCCAGCCAGTCAGTGTATCCACAGCGATGTCGCTTATACAGTTAACCTCACTGGTAAGTACCATCGTCCAAGTAGTCAGTGTATTTACAGCGATCCTCATACAATATACCTCAATGGTAATTGCCATCCGCCACTTGTCCGCTGATTACAGATTTTAATGTTAAATCCATGTCTAATAAAACACAAGGTTAAACCCGACTTCAAAGAAAGGCAAGAATTTTTGCTCTGCCCCATGCGTAGTGCAATAAAGCATTGTTTTACCATCAACATTTATAATGTTAAAGAACTCGGACGCAAGCTTCCCCATGCTTTAACTATAATAGTTCTTAGACGACACATTCAGATCAAAACCACAATGAGTGGCTAAGTAATTTTCAGGGGAGCTGCTACACACTAGGGGACAACTCATAGGGCTTTGCTGAAATATTATGACGTCATGAGTGTTCAGGAATTCCATTGAGACAATACGAGTATTTCATATCTTACAGTCTGCTGAACGATACATGTTTCTGGTAGAGCCAGTGGAATGAGAGAGAGGGGTAGGCGATTATTCAGAGATCATTACTTGGATCATTCTACATTTCAGCTTCTTTTAGTCTGTCATTGTTCTGTCTTATTCTTATTCAAAAATAATGCTTTCACTCTGCTTCATCCACTTTCTTTCATTCAATACTACATCTCTCTCTCTCTCTCTCTCTCTCTCTCTCTCTCTCTCTCTCTCTCTCTCTCTCTCTCTCTCTCTCTCTCCCCCCCCCCCCCCCCCCCCCCCTCTCTCTCTCTCTCTCTCTCTCGGGTATGGTGCAGACAAACCCAGAAACATAATCGGGGCGAACCGGGATTCGAACCCAGAATCATAGGTTTCTGGCGTGCCCAAGGACAGAACTCTGCACAGCGAATCGCGGCGCCTTAGACAACTGGGCCACCCGTGCCCCGTAAGACGTCTGAGTGAGTGAGTAAGTGAGTGAGTAAGGTTTTACGCCGCTTTTAGCAATATTCCAGCAATATCACGGCGGGGGACACAAGAAATGGGTTTCACACATTGTACCCATGTCGGGAATCGAACCCGGGCTTGTCTCAAACCAGACGAAGACATAAGTGAAACATTGTTGGTACCATCGTACCATTACGCTGCGAGATCAGTTAAATAAAAGGGGGAATATTTTTGTTTGGTCCTCTTCAGAATACTTTGTACTGAAGCAAGGTTTTCAAAACGTTTCAGCCATGAAACGGCAGCAACGACGGGTGTTGAGGCTGTGGTGAACGAGGTCGTGGTGACCCAGTTGCATACAAGGTTTCCCACTGGGGATTGAAAATAGTTTCGTGGTGGGTTGAACCATTACGAGACTGTGAGGACTGGTATACTATGGGTGGACTCAAGACTTCGGGGGAGAATAGGGGAAGACGTTCATTGAGGGGTTTTATGAAATAATGCTTACCAAAACTGTTCCTACGAATATCACAAATATGACGGGCTATAGTAAGTCACAATGGGCTTGAGGGCTGTTTCTTTTGAGATTGTTGGTGGCACAAACACAGAGGAATTACAGGAATGAACAAATGTCTTGGTAAAGTTGAAAACTTGATGTTGTTAACACAGTGGTCGTCAATGAAAATGTTTTCGGAATCACCTCTTGATGTTTCAGGGAGGGGTGTGATGAAACAAGGATGCTGTTTTTTTCTGTTGTTTCCTGGAAAAGTCGCTAGTCCCAGGCACGGCTGAAGGGGTTGGTCTTTAGGGTGGTAACAATGTCTCGAGTAAGAACAATGATGACAGTTATGATGAGCACAGAATAGCTTGAGGATAAACGAACCAGAATGTTAGTTGTTGTTGCCCTGATTGTTGTGAACCCAGACGAAATAACGATTCACTTCGTGCTGACGAACGTCTATGTCTTTGTGCTTGGAGGTACCAGAGATCTCCAAAGATTTCTTCTCCACCAATATATCCCAGGTAGACGTTGGTGCTCTACCGGATATTTCTGTTTTTGACAAGTCCGTCTGTGGGTCAACAACGTTTATTCGTGATCTTGATATGACTACATAGCATTACAGCAATGGCCAGGCAGCATCTCGGAGTCGTAAGAGGGCCAACCTGCCTAGCCGCTGTCCGAGGGTCCAGTCTCGACTCACAGACAGCGTACTATCTTTAACCCTCACTGTCAGACTGCCATGTATCGTGTTACGTTACGTTACGTTACGTTATGGTCAGCCTGCAGTATCCCGCACCTCATCCACAATGATAAGTTTCAGTGGCCAACCGGCCATTCTCAAGCGTTAATTACAAGCCGCTGACCCTCACATGACTCTGTCCTGCTGGCCATGGTAATGATACCCCAGCTGCTGTTATAATTTGTATTGGCAGCACTATGAATATTTGAATAGATATAAAAAACTTACTTAACGGAGGGAATATATAAAACGTATATGGACTCCCTGTTAAAACTTGTATACCCTGGCCAACTGCCTATGAAACTAACCTCTGAAACTATGCACACTTTGCTGAGGCAAGGGTAATGTGAGAATGTTGGTATCAAACAAACAAGATGGGGGGGTACGGGTGGCCCAGTCGTCTAAGGCGCCGCGATTCGCTGTGCAGAGTTGCGTCCCTTGGGCACGCCAGACACCTATGATTGTTGGTTCGAATCCCGGTTCGCCCCGATTATGTTTCTAGGTTTGTCAGCACCATACCCGTGCTCGTGGGTTTCACCGAAGTGGTAAACGTCTGAGACCTGCATCACTTCGGACTTTCCTCCCACATTAAGCTGACACGCCGTGATATAACTGGAATAATGTTAAAAGCGGCGTTAAACCCAACTCACTCACTCATGATAGAAGAAAGGTATCCAAGCGCTCTCGCTCATACTCAATCATAATGTGCATGCTTGCACAGGTCCATTGTTCTTCAGTAATTTCCTTATACCTCTCCCTTTATGAAATAACCTTTCCTTTGTCCCAAAATGCCCATGGGGTTCCTCCAAATATATTCAACGTTTCGATCCTTGACCGACTGCAACTCTCTCTACGTCTACTCGTTCTACTCGATATCGAGGCCTCTCCCATCTCTGCTATCTCTTCTCTGACCTCTTTTTTCTTCCCCTCAAATTTCGACAACTTCAATTCTTTCCCGATATCTTTTACTGACGCTTCTAACTCCTTTTCCTCGACGAGCGACGTGGGTTTTGGCAACATTATTCAGTTTTCGTCATGCCGCCCGCCATTTCTGCTCCACTAACGGCGCCATGTTCCTCGGGTAATTGACTCGTACTAAAGCTGCCAGGCCTTGAAGATTGAGATTCCATCATTGAAACGCCTGCTTCATTGCGGAAGCATGTCACTGAACTTTGAATCTGCAATTTGGCTGATTTGGCTGCCAAGCGATCTGCAAAAGCTTTATGCCAAATATAAATATAATGGTTGCAGTTACATTTGGAAAAGGAATACTAGCAAAGGAAAATTTAAATATTAACTCACTCACTCACTCACTCACACTACCAGCCAGAACATACAATTTAATACAGTGGATATGATCAATATTTTATTCTATATTTTAACTACAGATTGATATTGAGCATGTTAATAGTCACCGTTTACTTATAACATCAATACATGTATATGCACTACAAGATAGGGTTGAAATTTAGCTGGTATTTCCAATCTCCTAGCAAGGAAATGCGTGTCACAAGTTCACATCAACATCAAGTTTAAAACTAGATCCTCTGTTGCCATGGCAACGGTTGTGTCATAAACCAAAACTACTGACAAACGAAATAAAAAGTAAAAGAACATATTGCTCATCTTCCGGCAGACTGCATGCGTGTTCTAGTGAATAGAAAGTCTGCCCGGAGAGTGGAAGGTCGGTGTTACGATCCCAAATCACATCATACAAGAATATGTTGTAAATATGATATTACCCTTTAACCCTGCTAAACTGCGGCATGTTATCTCAGTGAGCTAACACTATAAAACTAGCTCCAAGCAGCATAAAACACATAAGTGCAATAATCTTTAACCTCATTTGACCTCCCCTGAAGTCTTCCAGACGACTTGAACTTTGAGATTAGTAAAAAATACTCCACCCGCTGTAGCTCTTTCCTCTCTTCATGAAGGTGATGAAGAAGGTGACGTCCGGGTACGTCCCCAGGCAACATGCATAGTACTTTACATTGCGTTCCACCTTGTGCCCGGTCAAATCCCACTCTGTCCCACCCGGGTTGTAGTCGGAGACGTCTACATCGTTCCATGAAGCAGTGACGGGGTTGAGAAGGAGGCCACTGTATGTCCACGATCCAAATTTGAGTCTGCAGGTGACAGTGCCGTCGGTAGTGTAGTTGCTGACGTCACAACGTGTCTTGAGAGTGGTGGGGGGCACATGCATGACAGTTCCGGTACTTTCCACAACAGCCAGGACTTCACGAGAACTTGTGTGTCTGGTGACAAAGTGGTAACACATAATGAGTTAAATAATATATCTGATGGAATATTATGTAAATGTAAAAGTATCTACACAGAATATGCGTGAACACAATCAAATGAAATTAGACACAGTGATCGACAAAGGCAGTGTCGTCATTGTCAGCATTAGTTCAGTTCAGTCATTGCACATATGTAGCCACAAGGGGGCGTCATGGTCAGTACCTGGTCACACCATATCTTGCAGCCGTCACTGCTCGACACCTCCTTGGCACAGATTGCACAAGTCGTCGGATTGTTTCGTGGGGAATTCTTCGCCATTTCTCCTGTAAGGCGTTGGCGAGTTGTGCCAGTGTGTGGGGACGCTGGTGACGTTGACGGACGCGTCGATCAAGTTCGTCCCACAAATGTTCATTTGGGTTGAGATCAGGCGATTTGGACGACCATGGAAGGACACTGATGTTCTCATTAACAAGGAAATTATCTGTTGCGCGTGCTGTGTGGGACCGAGTGTTGTCATGCTGGAACAGCTCCCTCTGGCGGTCCAAAGTTGGGAGGAGGTGAGGACGCAGAATTTGGTCTATGTATCGGTTTGCTGTAAGATTGCCCTGGACAACCACTAACTGTGATCTACCCGTGTCGGATATGGCTCCCAAAACCATGACACCCCCTCCACCAATTAGGTCCACTTGTCGAACGCAGTTCGGCGCAAAACGTTCATGTCGACGTTGGTCTTCCATCCCGTCGTTGAAGAAGAATACGTGACTCATCGCTGAACCAAACGCGTCGCCAGTTCCTAAGATTCCATGTCTGTACTCGTTGACGGTGTAGACGTCGCAAGACAGGTCCAACTTTTGGTCGTCTCGCTCGAATTCCCACTTCCCTCAGACGATTTCTGATGGTTTGTTCGGAAATTCTTCGCATACCAGTCACTTGTCATGCAGTGTCCGTTGCCGTAGCAAATCGATTCCGAAGGTGATGCAACCGGATGTACCGATCCTGAGCAGGGGTGGTCACTCTTGGTCTTCCACTTCTGGGATGATCTTGAGTCGAATTAGTGCGGGTATATCGATCCCCTATTCGAGATATGGTGCTTTGGTGAACGTTGAAGTGTCTTGCAACGGCAGACTGGGACTCCCCTGCTTCCAAACGTCCAATGGCGATATTTCGGTCAGATGTAGTTAATCTTGGCATTTTTCGATCTCCGTTCACGTCAGAAAATTCGAAATGAACTGATGAATTTTGTACGGTCTTTTATAGTCAGTGTCTCTACTCTTGTTTCCAACATTTTGCACGTGCATTGTGCTGAAAACTTTTTCTGAAAGCAATGTCCTTGTATCCTTTCCATTTTTGCTGATAAACGTTTACAAAATACATTTTGAGATGTGTTTACGCGCAATGCACAACAAACATGACATGATTAACGGGATTATGACGATTGCTAAGAAAAAAAATCTAATTGGAATTCTCAAAACACCTATGCGTTTCTTTTTTTGAAGAGTGAACATGCAGCTGTGTCCAATAACAATAGATAATTTGAAGTTTACACGATATACGGCTTTTCAACTGGACGAGAGGTCGGTCACATGACCGCGAAATTGATGTTTTTTTCTCGAGACCGTGTTCTGGGAATGACGTTAACACTGACGGAATACTTCCATATTCCTGGGGAAACCCGTGCGAAATCCCTAGCACGAAAACATACAGAAGCGTTCTTTCTGATCATTTAGAACCTTTATTCTTGGTCTCGGCGTTTCAGTATACATTGAGAAATGTCAGAGTGCGTGACTGTATGATTGTTCACGAATATCCTCGCTACGGCCCATCCTAATAAACAAACGAAGAAGTGCACATCTAAACTATCGTAGTATCGACTCGATCCGTGTCTAGGCTGACACTGACCGTCTACAGCAATCCATGAATTTACCTTAGTGTCTGTTTGACGCATCTTTATTCACCCTTCAGTGATCGGCCAGTTGATCAATGATGACTAACACATGTAACCGCCACAGGTTCATTAACAACTTCGGAAATCTCCCCCGTCAGGTTTATCGTGTCGGCCATTTTGACGTCTTGTACTTGATGTAAATGTATTACGACGCGCTGTCATTGGGACTGACTTGAGGGGTAGTTCTTTACAGAACTTTCTCATCTCATGAGGATATGATTTGAACACATGTGCTGCGTAAGATGTTTCTGAAGAGCAAGTTGTGCATCCATACGCCCATGCCACCTCTCTTTTTAATTGAGGAACTATTTTACTCCGCGATATAGCTGGTTGTTGTATGTCTGTCAGTGTAAACATGAAGTAACTTCCGACGTTCATACAGTTTGGCCCTCACTCTATGAAGGTTCATACTCCAATGAACTCACTCAAAGTGAAAGTCAATTCTTAATCATATGAAAGTCATCACTTAAACATGTAAACAAATGCAAGCATACTCACCCGTTGTATAGCGTTACATCCGGGTTCCAGATCTTGGATGCTGGAATACGGATCATGCTTGTTTCGTTTAAAGTTGTGCCGTTCCATGACAGTCTTGGGTCTGTCCATTCGTAGGACATCCACACCTCGAACTCAGAATAACCGGACTTGGAGTCCTGTTACAAGAAGAAAATTGAGTTCACTATGTGCTATGTCACTATGTCACACAGTTAGTGGTCGTGTTGCACGGGCGACCAGATTGACTTCACCTATAATGTTAGCACATTGCGGCTTCAGGAGTAATTAGAGTTAAAAAAGTGAAACTGGAGGTGAAGTAGTATTGGTAGTGAACGTGAGGGTATTGTAGTATTGGTAGTGCGCGTGGGGGTACTGTAGTGTTTGCAGTAAACATGGAGGTACTGTAGTGTTGGTAGTGAACATGGAGGCACAGTAGTGTTGGTAGTGAACATGGAGGAACAGTAGTGTTGGTAGTGAACATGGAGGTACAGTAGTGTTGGTAGTGAACATGGAGGTACAGTAGTGTTGGTAGTGAACAAGGAGGAACAGTAGTGTTGGTAGTGAACATAGAGGCACTGTAGTGTTGGCACTGAACTTGGGGGTACAGTAGTATTGGTAGTGAACATGGAGGTACAGTAGAATGGGTAGTGAACGTTGGGGTCCAGTAGTGTTGTAGTGAAAATGGAGGCATTGTAGTGTTGGAAGTGAGCATGGAGGCACCTTAGTGTTGGTAGTGAACATGAAGGAACAGTAGTGTTGGAAGTGAACATGGAGGTACAGTAGTGTTGGTAGTGAACATGGAGGTACTGTAGTGTTGGTAGTGAAAATGGAGGCACCGTAGTGTTGGTAGTGAACATGGAGGTACTGTAGTGTTGGTAGTGAAAATGGAGGCACCGTAGTGTTGGTAGTGAACATGGAGGTACTATAGTGTTGGTAGTGAACATGGAGGCACTGTAGTGTTGGTAGTGAACATGAAGGTACTGTAGTGTTGGTAGTGAACATGGAGGCACTGTAGTGTTGGTAGTGAACATGGAGGTACTGTAGTGTTGGTAGTGAAAATGGATGCACTGTAGTGTTGGCAGTGAACATGGAGGTACAGTAGTGTTGGTAGTGAACATGGAGGCACTGTAGTGTTGGTAGTGAACATGAAGGTACTGTAGTGTTGGTAGTGAACATGGATGCACTGTAGTGTTGGTAGTGAACATTGAGGCACCTTAGTGTTGGTAGTGAAGATGGAGGTACAGTAGTGTTGGTAGTGAACATGGAGGAAGAGTAGTGTTGGTAGTGAACATGAAGGTACTGTAGTGTTGGTAGTGAAAATGGAGGCACCGTAGTGTTGGCAGTGAACATGGAGGTACTGTAGTGTTGGTAGTGAACATGGAGGCACTGTAGTGTTGGTAGTGAACATGAAGGTACTGTAGTGTTGGTAGTGAACATGGAGGTACTGTAGTGTTGGTAGTGAACATGGAGGCACTGTAGTGTTGGTAGTGAACATGAAGGTACTATAGTGTTGGTAGTGAAAATGGAGGTACTGTAGTGTTGGTAGTGAACATGGAGGCACTGTAGTGTTGGTAGTGAACATGAAGGTACTGTAGTGTTGGCAGTGAACATGGAGGCACTGTAGTGTTGGTAGCGAACGTGGAGGTACAGTAGTGTTGGTAGTGAACATGGAGGCACTGTAGTGTTGGTAGTGAACATGGATGCACAGCAGTGTTGGTAGTGAACATAGAGGCACAGTAGTGTTGGTAGTGAACATGGAGGCACTGTAGTGTTGGTAGTGAACATGGAGGCACCTTAGTGTTGGTAGTGAAGATGGAGGTACAGTAGTGTTGGTAGCGAACGTGGAGGTACCGTAGTGTTGGTAGTGAACGTGGAGGTGCTGTGGTATTGATTGTGAACGTGGGGATACAGCAGTATTCGTAGTGAACGTGGAGGTACATTAGTGTTGAAAGTGAACCTGGAGGTGAAGTAGTATTCGTAGTGAACGTGAGGGTATTGTAAGCATTGGTAGTGCACGTGGGGGTTCTGTAGTATTGGTAGTGAACATGGAGGTACTGTAGTATTGGCAGTGAAGGTTGGGGTACTTTGGTATTGGTAGTGAACGTGGAGGTACTGTGGTATTGACAATGAAAATTGAAGTAGTGTAGTGTTTAATGTAAACGTGGTATAGTGGTATTGGGAATCAGGATTCTGGTGCAAAGGTATTGGGGGTCAGTATTCTGGTGCAACAGTATTGGGGTCAGTATTCTGGTGCAGCAGTATTGGGAGTCAGTGTAAAGGTGCAACAGTATTGGGTATCAGTGTTGAGGTGCAGCAGTATTGGGTGTCAGTGTTAAGTTGCAGCAGTATTTGGAGTTACTGTTAAGTTGCAACAGTATTGGGAGTCATTGCTGAGGTGCAGCAGTATTGGGAGTCAGTGTTAAGATGCGGAAGTGTTGGGAGTCAGTGTTAAGGTGCAACAGAATCGGGAGTCAGTGTTAAGGTACAGCAGTATTGGGAGTCAGTGTTAAGGTGCAACAGAATCGGGAGTCAGTATTAAGGTGCAGCAGTATTGGGAGTCAGTGTTAAGGTGCAGCAGTATTGGGTATCAGTGTTGAGGTGCAGCAGTATTGGGAGTCAGTGTTAAGGTGCAGCAGTATTGGGTGTCAGTGTTAAGTTGCAACAGTATTGGGTATCAGTGTTGAGGTGCAGCAGTATTGGGAGTCAGTGTTAAGTTGCAGCAGTATTGGGAGTCAGTGTTAAGGTGCAGCAGTATTGGGTATCAGTGTTGAGGTGCAGCAGTATTGGGTGTCAGTGTTAAGTTGCAGCAGTATTTGGAGTCAGTGTTAAGTTGCAACAGTATTGGGAGTCATTGCTGAGGTGCAGCAGTATTGGGAGTCAGTGTTAAGATGCGGAAGTGTTGGGAGTCAGTGTTAAGGTGCAACAGAATCGGGAGTCAGTGTTAAGGTGCAGCAGTATTGGGAGTCAGTGTTAAGGTGCAACAGTATTGGGAGTCAGTGTTAAGGTGCAACAGAATCGGGAGTCAGTGTTAAGGTACAGCAGTATTGGGAGTCAGTGTTAAGGTGCAGCAGTATTGGGTATCAGTGTTGAGGTGCAGCAGTATTGGGTGTCAGTGTTAAGTTGCAGCAGTATTTGGAGTTAGTGTTAAGTTGCAACAGTATTGGGAGTCATTGCTGAGGTGCAGCAGTATTGGGAGTCAGTGTTAAGATGCGGAAGTGTTGGGAATCAGTGTTAAGGTGCAACAGAATCGGGAGTCAGTGTTAAGGTGCAGCAGTATTGGGAGTCAGTGTTAAGGTGCATTAGTATTGGGTATCAGTGTTGAGGTGCAGCAGTATTGGGTGTCAGTGTTAAGTTGCAGCAGTATTTGGAGTTAGTGTTAAGTTGCAACAGTATTGGGAGTCATTGCTGAGGTGCAGCAGTATTGGGAGTCAGTGTTAAGATGCGGAAGTGTTGGGAATCAGTGTTAAGGTGCAACAGAATCGGGAGTCAGTGTTAAGGTGCAGCAGTATTGGGAGTCAGTGTTAAGGTGCATTAGTATTGGGTATCAGTGTTGAGGTGCAGCAGTATTGGGTGTCAGTGTTAAGTTGCAGCAGTATTTGGAGTTAGTGTTAAGTTGCAACAGTATTGGGAGTCATTGCTGAGGTGCAGCAGTATTGGGAGTCAGTGTTAAGATGCGGAAGTGTTGGGAGTCAGTGTTAAGGTACAGCAGTATTGGGAGTCAGTGTTAAGGTGCAGCAGTATTGGGAGTCAGTGTTAAGGTGCAGCAGTATTGGGAGTCAGTGTTAAGGTGCAGCAGTATTGGGAGTCAGTGTTAAGGTGCAGCAGTATTGGGAGTCAGTGTTAAGGTACAGCAGTATTGGGAGTCAGTGTTAAGGTACAGCAGTATTGGGAGTCAGTGTTAAGGTGCAGCAGTATTGGGAGTCAGTGTTAAGGTGCAGCAGTATTGGGAGTCAGTGTTAAGTTGCAACAGTATTGGGAGTCAGTGTTAAGGTGCAGCAGTATTGGGAGTCAGTGTTAAGTTGCAACAGTATTGGGAGTCAGTGTTAAGGTGCAGCAGTATTGGGTGTCAGTGTTAAGTTGCAACAGTATTGGGAGTCATTGTTAAGGTGCAGCAGTATTGGGAGTCAGTGTTAAGGTGCAGCAGTATTGGGAGTCAGTGTTAAGGTACAGCAGTATTGGGAGTCAGTGTTAAGGTACAGCAGTATTGGGAGTCAGTGTTAAGGTACAGCAGTATTGGGAGTCAGTGTTAAGGTGCAGCAGTATTGGGAGTCAGTGTTAAGGTACAGCAGTATTGGGAGTCAGTGTTAAGGTACAGCAGTATTGGGAGTCAGTGTTAAGATGCGGAAGTGTTGGGAGTCAGTGTTAAGGTACAGCAGTATTGGGAGTCAGTGTTAAGGTACAGCAGTATTGGGAGTCAGTGTTAAGGTACAGCAGTATTGGGAGTCAGTGTTAAGGTACAGCAGTATTGGGAGTCAGTGTTAAGGTACAGCAGTAATGGGAGTCAGTGTTAAGGTACAGCAGTATTGGGAGTCAGTGTTAAGGTGCAACAGTATTGGGAGTCAGTGTTAAGGTACAGCAGTATTTGGAGTTAGTGTTAAGGTACAGCAGTATTGGGAGTCAGTGTTAAGGTACAGCAGTATTGGGAGTCAGTGTTAAGGTGCAGCAGTATTGGGAGTCAGTGTTAAGGTACAGCAGTATTGGGAGTCAGTGTTAAGGTACAGCAGTATTGGGAGTCAGTGTTAAGGTACAGCAGTATTGGGAGTCAGTGTTAAGGTACAGCAGTATTGGGAGTTAGTGTTAAGGTACAGCAGTATTGGGAGTCAGTGTTAAGGTATCAACATGATTGGGAGTCAGTGTTCAGGTGTAGTGGTATTGGAAGTCAGTGTTCGGGTGCGACGAACACAAAACAGCATATACGAGTAGTCACTCCAGCTTGATAGCGCTGTAAGAATCGACATAGAAATGTCGCTAAATGCAATAAGTCAGTTGTTATAACATAAGTTGTTATCCTTAAAGTTGAATGTTTTCTTATTGTAAGGACAAAGTCATCAAATATGTCCATTTGGGGTCTTTAAAAGCGGGATCGGTAGTTCAAAAGGGTGGTTACAGTATATCTACCGACCGCACGGCACGTCACTGTTTTAGTATGAGAAACTTGGGGACCGACCAGTCAGGCTTTGGGGGACATGCCAGGAGACACGTCAAGTTAAATAGGGATGTGATTCTAGGGCAAATATGAAGAAAGGATAGGACACATTAAAAGGCGATACGGACAAAGCTACTTTTGATTTAATTAAATGTTTTTGTTCGTAGTTGGGAGTGGTGACGAAAGTGATCTGATGAAATAGAACACTGCCGTTAAGTCAAGCGATTCATTTTGTAAGCTGAAAAAAGCCTCGAGGTAATTTGTATAGTTTGAATACAGCGAGGTGGTCCATACCCTCTACCTTTATTTGTTATATCAAGTATTGGGTGTTTAAAGATGGTCCTTCTTTGGGATCTGGTGGTAGAATGTGCATGTCATTCTTCAAATTTGCACTCTTACGGCGCTGATGACCCCAGGTGCAATATTTGTACAGCAATGAATAAAAACGTTAATGCATTATGGTGAGTGGGTGAGTTTGGTTTAACGCCGCTTTTAACAGTATTCCAGTAATACGAGGCCCTCGTAAAGGCCCTGGCTGCTGTTGATTTACATCGACGATTAAAAACATTATGTCTCCAAACGTTGCTGACATTACTTCATTCTAATAACTTCATACCTAATTGCCTCAATGGAACTGCCAATTGGGCCCATTTGGCGTTGTTAGTTCCCAGCAACGGAAAGTTCAAGTGAGCTAGTTTCGACATCTGCTTAATCGTAGTTTGATTTGACCGATGACCCCTTTATGGCTTTTGATATTCACGTATGCCGGTTTGCCACGTAACACTAGCATTTCACATATAAAGAGTGTGTATGTGTTTCCAGACAAAAATGTCCATAGAATTCCAATCGTATTTCAAATATAGCTTTCGCCACGGTCATATTGAAATTATCACTCAGTTCTGTTGTATCTAAACTTCAGAACTTCGTGTTGCATGTTCTAGTTTACCGTTTCTTTATAATCTTCAAAATCCAGAATAGAAATAATCAAGAATTCATGTGAGCTACCGTGTGCTGTGTCTTTGATGTTTCATTCTGAAACTTATTGACACGTTATATAAACACCTGCTTATGATATAAGGAAGAGAATTTATGGATGTCAACTTCTTTATTATGAGGAACACAACGTTTCGGAGTATGTGCTTACTCCTTCATCAGGTGAATAAATGCTATGAGGCAGAGAACATATTTATGTACCTGTACGAACAACAAACGTAATAAGATAACAAAGGTGGAAACGTAACAAGGGAAGCCAACAGATATTTGGCGCTGAAAGGTGATTAGCAAACAAACAAATGGAAGACAACACCAACACATAAGCGCTGAGAGAAAGCATATACTCCGAAACGCTGTTTTTCATAATAAAGAAGTTGACCTTATATATAGGGGCACGGGTGGCCCATTCATCTAAGGCGCCGGGATTCGCTGTGTAGAGTTGCGTCCCCTCGGCCCGCCAGAAACCTATGATTGTAGGTTCGAACCAGGTTCGCCGCGATTATGTTCCTTGGTTTGTTTTCACAATACTTGTGCTCGTGGGTTTCACCAAAGTGGTAAACGTCTGAGACCTGCATCACTTAGGGCTCCCACATTAAGCTGACACGCCGCGACACAACTGGAATACTGTTAAAAGCGGCGTTAAACTCAAGACAATACACTGCGATATTCGGGTATTTGGGATTTCAACCCCGATACTTTGTTAGTGTATGAGTGTACCAGTGATGTCAGCTGTATAAGCGACATCCCTGTGGATACATTGACTGCATGGCTGGCCGATGGTACTTACAACATGTACTAGTGATGTTAGCTGTATAAGCGACATCCCTATGGATACATTGACTGACTGGCTGATGGTACTTACCAGTGATGTCAGCTGTATAAGCGACATCCCTGTGGATACATTGACTGGCCGATGGTACTTACCAGTGATGTTAGCTGTATAAGCGACATCCCTATGGATACATTGACTGGCTGATGGTACTTACCAGTGATGTTAGCTGTATAAGCGACATCCCTATGGATACATTGACTGACTGGCTGATGGTACTTACCAGGGATGTTAGCTGTATAAGCGACATCCCTATGGCTACATTGACTGGCTGGCCGATGGTACTTACCAGTGATGTCAGCTGTATAAGCGACATCCCTATGGATACATTGACTGGCTTGTCCAATGTACTGACAGGGATGGTGGTGTTAGCAGCTTTGTCGATGACGTATTTGTACAGAGCATCAAATAGCTGACACTGAGCTGAAGTAATGAAGGGTATCAACTTTGATCAAACTGTATAACAGGATGCGCTGCATGGCCGACAGTCTAACGACGTTGTGACTAACATATTGTCCTGCGGTGACCATGTTGTAACCTTAACATGTACTTCAATGTCGAGCGAAAATAGTTTGTTTCCTTTGACGCTTGGAAAACACATTTGCACTATCCAAAACCAGTTTCTCCCACATCAATACAATAATGTAAATTTCCATTTGGAAGTTTGGAGCGAATTTAACATATTGTGTTAGGTATTGATTTGAGTCCAGAGTAATATGCATGTTATAAACTGAGTTGTGGAAACTATATATATATATATATAATATCGTGGTGCAACTGAACAAAATTATAGAGAATCATTTCGATTTCCTAATTTACACCCCATAGATTTGTTGAAGTAAATATGCATGACATTTACTGTAAAATGAAGTACACAAGTGTTGTTACATCTGACATGCATATATAATACTGGCAAATTAAACACAAAATTGACTCAGGGGTAGTCATAAAGTAACCCTGTGAAAGGCAGGGAAAAAATCCCAATACATGCATATTGAAGAGACGAATCGCACTAACGCACTGGCACCAGAGACAAACATAACACCACCCGTGCAAGTATATGTAAGTTGTTTATGGATAACACTTACCAACAGCACATATTGCCAGGACCCCAACAAACGTTCCCGTGGACATCGTGTGCATCTATGTGAATGGAGGTCTGCCTGTTTGTAAGCGCTGCTCCAGTTGCGGAATATATTGTCGACTTTGCAATACATAATGACGATGATTGTTTCCTGTGTTTGTTTCATGACAAAGGTCATGGTCACGTACTTTACATAATAAGGTTTGCTTTGGAGGCTGACACGAATACCATGACTAACCTGGAAATTGTTAGAAGTAAAAAAAACATTCATTCCAATGAAATTATCTCGTACTGGCTCTGTCTGGCCCATGTTATAAGGTGTTTTGCTAATTGACCATGCTATCACTTGGGTTAGTTCAATCCTTCGTTTCCCGTTACGATATTAACCCAACTTGTTTGCCCATGTTTGTGATGAAAGCCTTCTACCATGGTCAGGTTACAATGACGTTTGACATTTATGATCCTACTGAAAGAGAAATGTTTATACACTGAGATGAAGGCACCTGAACATATTATGTAACAGCCATACGCAGTGTAAACAAATATGTCAACAGTCCATAAACTATTAATGATTCCGAAATGTATACAGATTTTAAATGTCAAAAATTATCATCTCATTTAAAAGCATGGGCTGCATTGTGTATATATTTCATACATTGAATCTTAGCATGCACATGGGTTAGAAAAATGAATATGAAAGATGTCTCATCAATCACGACAGTTTTTGATTGACATAATAGACATACCATGTTTCATTGCCTAACCATCTTCCTCTTTCTATTGTTACCATGTGATTTTCAAAATGAAACGCAGCAGTAAACCCAAAAATCGTAAGTTTAGGTTTACCGTACAAAAAGGCAATCCAATGGATAAAGACATGAGCGGTAATCGGTAACTTTGACGTAAGTGCACTTAAGTATTTATAATACTGTCACTGTTGATTGTCTTGAAAGAGACCTGCCCCCGTGCTTGAATCTAGAATAGTGCTAGAAAGTTAGTTGTTAACGGTACAAATAGGTATACAATCCGCGCTTGGTAAGTAGATGAGCAACAAGTTCTCGAATCGCCAACAAGAAAGGACGCATCTAAATCAGTAAGATAGCAATAATAAGTTGATGTATTGAATACTTTCATGAAAGGTAAAGAAGATGTTCAAATCAATTAGTCACGTCCATTGATGTTCACAAAGATAGGATCTATGCAGTACCTCTTGGAGCAAATGCAGGTTCCAAAGGTGTTCAGTCTCTGCATGACCCCCATTTCAGCTTCCGCGTGTAACAGTACCAAATAAATATAAGTAGAGCCAGTAATATTAACACAAGGATGACAATTCCGACGATTCCAGCTCCATCCATGTTATTTGCTCGTGAGTCCTAGTATCTGAAAAACAATGACTCAGTCATAAGTATAAATCAATGTTGATTTCTACCCATAAAGTATATTGGACTATTTTCTGTGTATTGTATTTAACGTCACCCATTGCAACCTAAGACCACGATTTTGGTTATGATGGATGGTAAATACGTAAAAGGGTAACTTTGCGCATGCAATCAAGTTACTTCCAGAAAGACACACATAAGTAATCAAGGGTCGCTTGATAAGTAGAGCCAGTAATATTAACACAAGGATGACAATCCCGACGATTCCAGCTCCATCCATGTTATTTGCTCGTGAGTTCTAGTATCTGAAAAAAAATGACTCCGTCGTCATGTATGTATGTATGTATGTATCTGTAGTATAATACAGCAGACTAGGTCTTAAGCAACCCATCTTGCCGTAAAAGGCGACTTTGCTTGTCGTAACAGGCAACTAACGGGATCGGGTGGACAGGCTCACTGGCATGTCATCGCATCCCAATTGCGTAGATCGATGCTCATGATGTCAATCACTGGATTGTCTGGTCCAGACTCACTTTTTTACAGACCGCCGTCATAAAACTGGAATATTGCTGAGTGCGGCGTTAAACAACAACCAACAAAAACTAAGCACGTGATTACTAGGGTGACGGCCACAATCTATAGCTCAATGTAAGAACAATACCAAATATGATATCATGATTGTATCCAAGACAGCAAACACACAATCCTGCTCACTTGAACGTATTTATCATATCAAATATTCCATAATATAATTTTGTAAAATATGCCGGAAAGTTGGCAAAATCTAATAACTGTTCAAAATGCGCAAAGACCTTGTAGTAATGTGAGGTGAAATTGGGCTTAACGTCGCGTCCAAGATTATTGCACTTATATAGCGACGTGCATGCACGTGTATGTGTGTGTGTGGCTGCTTGTACTAGTCCGGACTGATGCCGATTTATAGTGCTAGCTCACTGAGATACCATGCCGCAGTTTAACATGAATACCCCACTCAGACACAGTATACTGACTCCGAGCCGACCAGTCCTTGTTTTAGCCCCTTAATGCCGAGCGCCAGACAGGGTTACAACAAGTACAATCTTTTAACGTCTTTTTGTATGACGCGGCCCGGGATCGAACCCTGGACCTTCCGCTCTCCGGGCGGACGCTCTACCACAAGACCACGGAGGCGGTCCTTGTAGTAATGTCACTGTTGAAGATACATCTCCACTGTGTGCTAAATGCCCTGGCTTTCCCATTACGTCTGGAATCTGTGTCTGAACATCCGAGCCCATAAACGTCACCTACCTTCATTCAGTGTTGATTACCACCTATGAACACAAATTAGACCATTTTCTGAGTATTATATTTAACGTCACCCATTGCAAGCTAAGAAAAAGATTTTGGTTATGGCGGATGGTAAATACGTAATAGGTTATCTTTGCATATGCAATCAAGTTACTTCCAAAAAGACACCTACAATTAACCAAGAATCACTTACCTTTATTGAATACTAATTATATTACAACCTATCACACACACATTTTCTTTTAATTTTTTGTTTACGTCAACCAATGCAACTTAAGCACTATATGTTATTGCGAATGGTAACAAAACTGTATCACTTTGCTTTACAGAAGAGATGTGATGATTGAGTCAAAGGGGTCCATCCTCTGTGTAAAAGACTTGGCTTGCATCTCATGCAAAGCCGTTCCTGTTGTACTGTTAAATTTTGGAATCAGATAAAACTTTCCAAGTTCATGATGTTGTTGACCCCAAAGATAACTTAAACCTCCTTAGTTTGGCCTTACCTGTAGTTTTTGTCAAATAAAAGCACGCTATTCCACAAGTGACTAGCACTAACTCTCGTGATATAAGAACGGTATTCAACGCGCTCTCGCTCATCTAATAAATTCAACAATTTGATTTGCCTTTTGCAATTTGAACCTTTGTATTATTTACCGACCCGCACGTTTCGATCCTTGGCCGACTTCAACTCTCACTAGGTCTACTCGTTCTACTCGATAGCTACGCCTCTCCAGTTGCTGCTATCTTTTCTCTGCCCTCTTCTCTCTTCCCCTCAAATTTCGACAACTTCAATTCTTTCTTTTACTGACGCTTCTAACTCCTTTTCCTCGACTACCGATGTGGGTTTTGGCAACATGTAATCAGTTTTCGTCATGCCGCCCGCCGTTTTTGCTCTGAGGCTCTGCCAGGCTTTGGGGATTGAGATTCCGTCATTGAAACGCCTTGCTTCAATGCGAGAGGCATGTCACTGAACTCGGAATCTTCATTTTGTATCCTTTCCCGATCTTTAGCCATTTTGTATTTGCTTCTTTATAAAACAATTTCGCTGCCCAGCCATGTGCAAAAGCTTTATGCCAAATATAAATATAATGGTTGCAGTTACATTTGGGAATGGAATACAAGCAAAGGACAATTTAAATATTAACTCACTCACTCACTCACTCACTCACTCACACTACCAGCCAGAACATACAATTTAATACGGCGAATATGATCAATATTTTATTTTATGTTTTAACTACACTCAGATTGATATTGAGCATGCTAATAGGAAACGTTTACTTATAACTTCAATGCATGTTTATGCACTACAAGATAGGGTTGAAATTTAGCTGGTATTTCCAATCTCCTAGCTAGGAAATGCGTGTCACAAGTTCACATCAAGTTTAAAACAAGATCCTCTTGTTGCCATTGCAACGGTTGTGTCATAAACCAAAACTACTGACAAACGAACAAAAAAAGTAAAAGAACATATTGCTCATCTTCACGGAAAGTCTGCCCGGAGGGTGGAAGGTCGGCGTTTCGATCCCCAATCACGTCATACCAGAATATGTTGTAAATATGATATTACCCTTTAACCCTGCTAAACTGCGGCATGTTATCTCAGTGAGCTAACACTATAAAACTAGCATAAACCCGGACACTTCCAAGCAGCATAAAACACATAAGTGCAATAATCTTTAACCTCATTTGACCTCCCCTGAAGTCTTCCAGGCGACTTGAACTTTGAGATTAGTTGAAAATGCTCCGTCCGCTGTATCTCTTTCCTCTCTTCATGAAGGTGATGAAGAAGGTGACGTCCGCGTACGGCTCCGGGCAACATGAATAGTACTTTACATTGCGTTCCACCTTGTGCCCGGTCAAATCCCACTCTGTCCCAATGGGGTTGTACTCGATGAGATCAGTACATGCATCATAGAACAGTGGATATGATCAATACTTCATTCTTCATTTTAACTTAAGATTGATATTGAGCATGGTAGTAGAAAACATTTACTTATAACGCAAATACATAAGACAATCATTTTGAGCTGTCTGGTATTTCCAATCTCCAAGCAATAAAACGTGTTTCCCAACTTAATCATCAAGTTTAGAACGTGTGCAGCTTGTAATGAACCAAAAGTACTGACGAATGAAATAAAAACTAAAACAACAAATTGTCCATCTTCCAGAAGACCTCATCCAGTGAATAGAGTGTCAAAAGTTAAAATATGGCTTTTGTTGTTACCCACTGCACTCCAAGGACTGGTGGGCTCTGAGTCAGTATACTGAGTGGACGACTTGGACAATGAGATTAACCAAATATGCTCCATCCGTTGTATCTCTTTCCTTTCTTCGTGAAGGTGAAGAAGAAGTTGACGTCCGCGTACGGCTCCGGGCAACATGAATAGTACCTTACATTGCGTTCCGCCTTGTGCCCTGTCAAATCCCACACTGTCCCACTCGGGTTGTAGTCGGAGACGTCTACATCGTTCCATGAAGCAGTGACGGGGTTGAGAAGGAAGCCATCGTAGGTCCACGAACCAAATTTGAGTCTGCAGGTGACGGTGCCGTCGGTAGTGTAGTTGCTGACGTCACAACGTGTCTTGAGAGTGGCGGGGGGCATGTGCATGACACTTCCGGTACTTTCCACAACAGCCAGGACTTCACGGGTACTTGTGTGTCTGGTGAAAAAGTGGTGTCACATAATCAGGTAAATTATATTCCATCAGATATGTACAGGCAGCTGTGTCTTATAATAATAGTCATAAAATAGTCAACACCTTAATAATCGTACATATCCACAATCATACCACATAATCTATACCATATTATCAGGTATATATGCGATTAGAAATATCTCATTGGGTCACGTTTTTTGCTCTCTCTCTCTCTCTCTCTCTCTCTCTCTCTCTCTCTCTCTCTCTCTCTCTCTCTTTCTCTCTCTCTCTCTCTCTCTCTCTCTCTCTCTGTGCACACATGTAAACCAAAACAAATGTAAGCATACTCACCCGTTGTATAGCCTTACATCCGGGTTCCAGATCTTGGATGCTGGAAGACGGATCATTCTTGTACCGTTGAAAGTTGGGCGGTTCCATGACAGTCTTGTGTCTGTCCATTCGTAGGACATCCACACCTCGAACTCAGTATCACCGGATTTGGGGTCCTGTAACATGTACTGTACTGTAGTATTGGCAGTTAAAGTGGAGGTACTGTAGTATTGGCAGTTAAAGTGAAGTTTCTGTAGCATTGGCAGTTAAAGTGGAGTTACTGTAGTATTGGCAGTTAAAGTGGCGGTACTGTAGTATTGGCAGTTAAAGTGGAGGTACTGTAGTATTGGCAGTTAAAGTGGAGGTACTGTAGTATTGGCAGTTAAAGTGGAGGTACTGTAGTATTGGCAGTTAAAGTGGCGGTACTGTAGTATTGGCAGTTTAAATGGAGGTACTGTAGTATTGACAGTTAAAGTGGCGGTACTGTGGTATTGACAGTTAAAGTGGAGGTACAGTAGCATTGGTAGTGAACGTGGAGGTACTGTAGCATTGGTAGTGAACGTGGAGGTACTGTAGCATTGTAGTGAACGTGGATGTAGAGCAGCATTGTAGTGAACTTGGAGGTACAGTAGCATTGTAGTGAACTTGGAGGTAAAGTAGTATTGGAAGTTTAAGTGGAGATACAGAAGTGTTTGTTGGGAACGTGGAGGTACAGTAGTATTGGAAGTTTAAGTAGAGATACAGTAGTGTTTGTAGTGAACTTGGAGGTAAAGTAGTATTGGAAGTTTAAGTGGAGATACAGAAGTGTTCGTTGGGAACGTGGAGGTACGGTAGTATTGGAAGTTTAAGTGGAGATACAGTAGTGTTTGTTGGGAACGTGGAGGTACAGTAGTATTGGAAGTTTAAGTGGAGATACAGTAGTGTTTGTTGGGAACGTGGAGGTACAGTAGTATTGGGGGTGAATAATAACTGCTAGGTTGATATACCCCCTTGAATTTCACAAAGTTGGGTTTCAACCTTGATATTTTGTTAGTGTAATACTATTAGTGTTGATGTATATGTATCGGGAGTCAGGGTTCAGGGAAGATGGAAATGTGATTAGGTACCAGTCAATAATAGAAACATTCCAAAACCTTGACACATTTGTGCACCATATACAGGATCAAGTTTAAGGTGCAGGTGTACTGGGATACAAGTTTACCGAGAGTCAGTCAGGTTTAGGCTCAAGAATATTAAGAACCAATCAGTTTATAGGTACAAGGGTATTAAGAACCAGTCAATGTAATGCACATCGATGGTACTTACCAGTGATGTTAGTTGTATAAGCGACATCCCGATGGATACATTGACTGGCTGGCCGATGGTACTTACCAGTGATGTTAGCTCTAAAAGCGACATCCTTATGGATACATTGACTGGCTGACCGATGGTACTTACCAGTGACGTTAGCTGTATAAGCGACATCCCTATGGACACATTGACTGGCTGGTTCAATGTACTGACAGGGATGGTGGTGTCAGCAGCTTTGTCGATGACGTATTTGTACAGAGCATCAAATAGCTGACACTGAGCTGAAATGATGAAGGGCATCTACTTTGATCAAACTTTATATCAAGATGCGCTGCATGGCCGACAGTTTAACGGCGTTGTCAGCAAGATGTTGTCCTGCTATAGCCATGCTGTAACCTTAACATGTACTTCAATGTCGAGCGAAAAAGGTTTGTTATATATGTACCACAGATGTAGTCAATCCTGTAATTGCGACGCTTTAAAACACATTTGCACTATCCAAAACCCGTATATAAAAAACAGTTTTGGTGCAATCAAATACACTTACAGAGAAAACTATCATTTCCTAATTTACATCCCATAGATTTGTTGAAGTAAATATTCACGACATATACTGTATAATGAAGTACAAAAGTGTTGTTACATCTGACATGCATATATAATACTGGCAAATTAGACACAAAATTGACTCAGGGGTAGTCATAAAGTAATCTTGTGAAAGGCAGGGAAAAAAATCCCAATACATGCATATTGAAGAGACGAAGTCGTGACGCGACACTCACTAATCAGTGTCAGGTACAGCGATGACACCATTAAACGCCCACCAATAGCATTAACCCACTGGCACCAGAGAAAAACAGCAAACCACCTATACAAGCATATGTATATTGTTTATGAATAACACTTACCAACAACACATATTGCCAGGAGCCCAAAAAACGTTCCCGTGGACATCGTGTGCATCTCTGTCGATGATTGTCTGTCTGTCTGTTTGTAAGCGCTGCTCCAACTGCGGAAAATGTAGTCGACTTTGCTATACATAATGATGATGATTGTTTCCTGTAGATTAGCGCAAAGGTCATGGTAACGTTAACCTATTTGACCAATAACGTTTGCGTTGCCGTCTGACACGAATGCCATGACCAGCCTGGATATAGTTAAAAGTCAAAGAGCGTTCATTCCAATGCAACTGTGTTCGCTTGCTCTCGTTGGCCCATGTTATGAGGTGTTTTTCCTATTTGAACATGTCACCACTTGGGTTAGTTGGATCCTTGTGTTTCCCGTTGCGATATTAACCCAACTTGTTTGCCCTTGTTTGTGATAAAGCCTTCTACCATGGTCAGGTTACAATGACGTTTGACATTCATTACCTCACTGAACGAAATCCTGAGATGAAGGCATCTGCACACATCATGTGACAGCCATACGCGATATTAACAAATTTGTCAACAGTCCATGAGCTATTTATGATTCCGAAATGAATACAGATTGTAACTGTCAAAATTATCATCTCATTTAAAGGCATGGGCTGCATTGTATATATATTTAATACATTCAATCTTAGCATGCCCTTGGGTTAGACAAATGAAAACCAACAGATGTCTCATCAATAACGACTGTTTTTGATTGACATACTAGACATACCATGTCTTTCATTCCCTAACCATCTACCTCTTTCTATTGTTACCATGTGATTTTCAAACTGAAATGCAACGTGAACCCAGAAATCGTAAGTTTAGTTTTACAATACAAAAAGACGATACAATTGATAAAGACATGGCAGCAGTAATAGGTAACAGGCCCTAACATTGACTTAATGGCACTCACGAATGTTCAGAGTACTGTTGATTGTCTTGAAAGAGGCCTGTATCCGTGCCTGAATCTAGAATAGAGCAGGAAACTGGCAGTAGGTCGGTGTCTACAAGTAGGTATCCAATCCACTTGGTAAGTAGATGAGCACCAAGTTCTCGAATCGCCCTCTTCTCACTCTTATATTGGTGCTCGAGTCTTAAGAAACTGTCCAGTCTCGAAACTTTACGAACGACCAAGCCTGTCCAATGCATATGCAACAAGGACCAGATACTTCTAAAGCCACTGACACATCTATTCTGGATAGCTTCGTTCGGAGGAGTCGGGTTTAAAGCCGCTTTGAACAGCATTTCAGTTTATAGCTATGGATCCGGGAGCCGAATATTAGTTGTCCTGAATAACGGTCAAATACGGTTGAGTTATTTTCCTTTATTCTGCGCCAGTAAATATATACATTTGCAAAAACAACATCCCTCTTGGAGATTCCGAGTTACAAATTGTCCACAGCAACTAAGTATTTCCCACAAGGCGATATAATGGATCGGGAGGTATAAGGCTCGGAGACTTGGTTTGGTTGATTGCTTGTCATCGTACTCAGCCGAGTCGATGGTTTCTCATATTATCAATCACTGTATGGCCTGTACCAGACTCGTTCTGTCATAGTGCGAGAATAGTGCTTGATTGCGGCGTTAAACAACAGACAAACAAGCGAAATCAAAGTATGAGCGTGCACTGCCATGTACAGACACACATGCCATTGATTGGTTTGTTGCATGCATTCTGACAACACATTAACGTCAATGACAACAAAATATAAATGTTTTTGGTCTGTACAATATTTCAACCGACGTGGAATACACACTGCAGTCCTGATACATATCCATCAACAAGAAAGGACGCATCTAAATCAGTGACATAGCAATAATTAGTTATATATTGATGTATGGAATACCTTCATGAAGGGTAAAGTAGATAATCACATTCATTTAGTCACGTCCATTGATGTTCACAAAGATAGGAACCATGCAGTACCTCTTGGAGCAAATGCAGGTTCCAAAGGTGTTCAGTCTCTGCATGACCCCCATTTCAGCTTCCCCGTGTAAAAGTACCAAATAAATATAAGTAGAGCCAGTAATATTAACACAAGGATGACAATCCCGACGATTCCAGCTCCATCCATGTTATTTGCTCGTGAGTTCTAGTATCTGAAAAACAATGACTCAGTCATAAGTATAAATCAATGTTGATTACTACCTGTAAAGTATATTTGACTATTTTCTGTGTATTATACACTCAACAACAAAAGTTCCTGTGACATCAATATTTTAGTGTTTATTTCAAACAAGTTAAGTTTGATTTTCAATATTGTAGTACATGTATGGATCAAGTCACAAAAACGCAACTGCTACAGAAAAGCATGCATTCCATGCAAAAGTTGACTTTTATGCAAGCCCCATGCATTTCACTACCCAAGAATGGGTATAAAAACATGTGCGTTAACGGGATTGCATATGCATTCTTTAGCATCGTGCTGACAACAACCACTCAGAAAAACAACAAAATTACGCAATTATTCAAATTTACGAAATGCCACGCCTGCCCGAAAATGAGCGTCTTCGAGCCATTGGTATGCTTGAAGCAGGATCGAGTCAACGTGATGTTGCAAGACAATTTAACGTCCACAGAAACACCATTAGGTCTTTATGGCAACGTTGGCAACAGACGAATGCAGTCAGAGACCATCCTAGGAGTGGCAGGCCACGCGTAACCAATAATCGACAAGACAATTGGATTCGAACAACTCACCGACGAAATCGATTCCAGCCAGCAACAGTGACTGCAAGAAGCATCCCTGGCCTTCGACGAATATCTTCACAAACCGTACGTCGTCGCCTCAGATGTGCAGGGATTGTCGCCAGAAGACCCGCCAGACGTCTGTGTGTGACATGGTTGGTCATGTTCGATAAATAGGGAAATATACTTTCGCTTTCGTTTTCGCTTTTGCTGCAAACGTAAGACCTACTGCAGAACGTATTAAATTATTCATACCTAAATATATCAAGTGAGTAACACATGCAGAGCACAGTGAACATCCTCGATAATATATACTGTTATATATACGAGCGTAAATCGTCACAGCATACTATCGATTAGACTGCATACAACAGTCACCGCACACTCATACATTTTTCAAGCAATTGAATACTTTGTTTTGATTGAACCAGAAAGCGTTCAGATATATTGTATTATCCACAACTGATTTCTTTATAATTCTCAGATATTAAACTGAGACTGGGTTATTTGCGTTTCATCATGTCCCTACGTTCTGGTGTCCCTCTCCTTGATATTGTGGCAAAAGTAGTGTAATACTATACTCACTCACTCATGTCCCGACGGTTAGGATTGTTGATCGTTTTCAGTCAGTGATGAACCTGTCATAAACAGGCGGCCGGGACACAGCTAGAATATTGCTTTTATTCACTCACTCACTCAGTTTTCCATACCTGTACATTGATGGGGTGGATGTATAAATAGTCAAGACAAGGAAACAGTATCGATAAAGTTTTATATGAGCAGTTGACGAATGCTTGGGCACGCATAGCCTCAGGTCTGGTCGTGTGGTTTCAGTAGATTATATATATTAGGTGGTCGACTGATTGCTGGTTTATAAATATACTGAACCGCAAAAGAAACGTCACCATGGATAGATATATGAGAAACCTTATTTGTCCAAACACTGTTAACATACTTTGAGACATATTAAAATGATGAACCTTGGCAAAACTGATCATCAAGGTAGAATAGGTCTTCAGCAACCCATGCTTGCCGTAAAAGGCGACTATGCTTGTCGTAAAGGCGACTAACGGGATCGAGTGGTCAGGCTCGCTGACTTGGTTGATGCATGTCATCGATCCCAATTGCGTGGATCGATGCTTATGATATTAATCACTGGATTGTCTGGTACAGACTCGATTATTTACAGACCGCCGTCATATAGCTGGAATATTGCTTGAGTGAGGCGTTAAACAACAAACCAACCAACATAATGATTCTACATCTTTATGAGTACACCATTCATACGAGTGTGTGTGACACTTATAATAGTGTCATAGCCATATCTGGGATGTGTGGGAACGATTGCTCTGTATGATCATAAATCGTAGATGCCTGTCACTTTACGGAATTACACCACGGATGCATACTGTCCATTCATAACTTATGACTCGTACATCGGTGATATCCTTGAATGGCAGTTGGGGGTAATCTGCTATTTGAACCCATTACTCATATTCGTTCAAAAGGAAACATCCACATATTTATCAGTGTTAATGTTTATTAGTAACAAATGATATAAGATATATCATTAGATACCTAATACATAGTAAAAGTATATGGGCGCAAGCATCCAGATAACATGTATTTATTTAAGTCTTTGAAAGGCTCTCTTCCTTATGTAAATATTTAATACGAATTTCAGCAAGTTTTTTTAAATAATGGTATAACGTTATGGTCATTTGTAGGTGAAATCCATTGATATGGGTTATAATGACTTGCCTTGAATCTCTTCCTTGTTGTTTTATTACACACGTCGAAACATTTCTATCAGCATCACTTCTAAATATAAGGGATAAATGATAAGAAATCTGTACTAAATAAAGCGACAAAACCCTTTCCATATCCAATAGAAATATCTGCATAAAGCAGGCTCGACTGTACGATTCCGACTATATCATGAGCATGAATATGAACATGTTTCTGAATCACTCTCAAATAGTAATGATACCAGGTGTTTGCGAAAAGGTGAGCGTATCCTACCCCACCGATGGCACCCGTCACAAACACATGCAAAGGCAAGTAAATTGTTACCCCGAAAAAACACGGGAACATATATAGGGAATTGCATCCGACATTATTTTTGTCACTGATTTGGAAATTTGGAAATGTCCTCCATTTGTCTACCATGGAACCTTTTGAAAGCTTCACTGAGGCCTTGAATGTTGTAACCTTGATCATACAACTTCAGAGCAAGAGTCGTATGACGCTTTTTGAAATCTTGGTAGAAAGAGCGCGATGGTATCTCAAAAGTTGTGAAATGTAAACACCAATGGCAGAGTCCGTTGTCCGATTCTGACTTTACCATAACACGTTTTGTCCAGCTTTGTTTATCTCCACAACAGTTACATCACAATGAGATAAATACATTCATCCATGATTTTTAATGGCTGAGATGGAGATTATACATGTCAACAACAGTATCTGACGTCTTTTAGATTGTGGCTGTATGTTATTACTCAATACAACATGGTTGTTGTATGTGCCATCAATGACAATATGCATGTTATATCACAGTGATTGAGGTAATATGCTGTCTGTCTAACAAGGCTGTCTGTGTATCCCCTGGTATGATGCTCCAGGTCAGGATGAAGGTCCTCCCAATGCACTGAGGACATCCTCGGGCAGATACTGCTTCAAACACTCCAACGTGTACGTCCACAGTTCTTCTTGGTATTTTTCATTCCTGAAATTAGTATTATTTGTATATAATACATCTATATACCGCAGGTATCCAGGTACTAGTATCTGCTCAAATGCGGTTTTGTTGGTTCCCCGACCAGTGGATCCGTTTGCATTCCAGTTATCATTCTCAACTTCCTGGGGAGTATGGAACCAAAGCTGCCTATGAGCGGTAGAAGGTTTTTACATCCACCTTACATATCGGGTACCCATTATCTGCTGAGTGAACAGAGGCACATTTAGTAACTTGCAAAGGGTGACACCATACGTTTTTTACACGTGTTTTGGGTGTATGTACGTATTCCTGTTTCCACAATTTGGTCATCTACTGGCGCCCACAAATGTTCAAGTAATTATATCCGTTAATTGAAATTAATGCTTTGGGAGAACAAGTTCTGCATCCAGTCTAGGTTTTGAACATGTACAGAATAAGGCAACCAATATGTACCTGGCATCGTTGGACATGGAAGCTGGCTTGCAATCAACAAGATAGACACCATTCAAACCCTTCTTTGCGGGATTCACTGCAGCGTCCACCAGAGTTACCGCCCCTTGAAAAGGAGTCCGAGTAATTCCTGCAAATATTAAAAAAAGTCAACTAATTGGAGATGGGGGGTAAAGGATTTTACCCAAGAAACTTTTAGAGTCTTGTACAGTCTTTCAGCCATGTCACGGTGTGTCAGCTAAATGTGGACGTACACAGAGGCGTATGTCGAGGAAGGTTATCTCTTTGTGAAAACCCTACAGCAAGGGTATGGTGTTGAGAAACGTTAGTGAAAGGATCACAACCCGGACCAGTTTTCTATTGGCTCACGGGTGTATCCCAAGCGACGGAACTCTTCACAGTATCTCAAATTGATGAGGTGATGACAATAAATAACTCAAATCAGTACAACTAAGACTAAATATGCAATGTTGGTAAAACATCCCAAGTTTAGTTCGTCCTCTAATAATATTACCTACAGTCATGCAAATTGATCGATGGCGCTCCTGTATCATTAAGGATCTGTGAATATCCCCAGTATCCTTTTTTGCTTATTGCAAAGGATGACTAAAATGTGTATGTCGTATTGGTAAAATAACTGTCAGTCATGACCTGGTCGTACATCTTCCCGAGGCAAGGGAGTTAACTGACTGTAAAAGGCAAGTTTCCAATTATGGAGTCATATTTTGGCTGGACTAACGAGCCTATGCATAGTCAAAGTCGCGAAACGAAATCGACATCTGGTTCGTAAACAACGTGCAGATTTCGGTCGACTGCACGATTTGCACAACTGTACGTCGACAGATGTTTTCCAAATCTTTTCAAGTTTTTAATCAAGGTGCTCACGTGATTTGATGCGTTTTATTATGATATATATCTGGATCATCTATCAGACCGTCTTAACTGGGCGCCGCCATTTTGTTTGAAACAAATGCAAGTGATATAAGAGGTGAAATCTGATTGGGCAATAGGAGGGACATGAAAGGGACATGACACGAAAGTGGCGCTTCGATCAAGCCCAGACATTCCAGCCTAGTTCGGCAAGGGTGGAAACTGGATTTTTAGAGTCAGTTAACTCCCTTGCCTCGGGAAGATGGTACTAGTGTCATAGCGACTGATTTACGACTACCATTGTCTGAAGTATATTTGACTCCAAAGGCTAATTACCCTGTAGCCATGACATGTTCATGTCTCCATAACTTAATTGTCATTATTTATAAGACACTAATCCCCGTTGTTAATCCTCACCAAAATTTCATTGTATTTTGACTGTCAGTCAGCCTGGACTACCATATCACTTCCCTTCAACTACTGCTTTTTATAGTATGGCATTTATTGCCTTTATTGATCATCCCCTGAACTGTGTCGGTTAATCACTCCTATATGTCCAATGTCCAAAGCAACGTCATTGTCTCTTTGTCTGTCCATTGTTGTTCATTACTATATATGTGTTACCATTACATGTGTTAAAAAGCTTGGTATTCCGAGCATGGGGTAGGGACGACCTCGAGCAGGATGTGCCGCTCGTAGGAAACGTCCTGAGGTGAGCTGGAGCTCCGCTCACCTCATGTATGCCTGAGCTGGAAGGTCCGCTCATCGCTGTGTTTGTGTTGTCAGAGCAGGTATTCCGCTCATTGTGCAATTGTTGTTTACTGTTTGCATGTTGTGCATAAAGCGTCCCGGGACAGTGATGTCGATTTTGTTCTTTATTGCCCCAAGAGCTAATTCCCCGTCAACATGCGCGTTGACACTAGTATGTTTCGTTAAGTAGTGGACATGTGCTCACTCAATCGATCGCTGGTTTGCTTGTCCAAGGCACAGATCATTCAGGGCCATGCGACCTAAAACCCTATCCAGTACCCTATCCAGTACCCTATCCAGTACCCTATCCAGTACCCTATCCAGAACCCTATCCAGTACCCTATCCAGAACCCTATCCAGTACCCTATCCAGTACCCTATCCAGTACCCTCCCTATCCAGTATGTCCACCGTGTTACACTCACTTAAAGCAGACATGGCCCCCATGAGAACAGAATAAAAACGCCGCCTCGTATAGTCCCTGGCCAACTCAGTTCCAACTGCACCCGGGTGAAATGACGTCACCGTGACGTGTTCTCCATGTTGGCGACGTAGAAGGCTGAACATATGCTGGATCTGAAAGTTGAAAGACATCATCTCAAGTGCCAGCAATTGATCCTTACAACCCCAGCATCCCGTACTGATTCCTTTCAGCTCCATGTTCATAATGTCATTGGAAGCGCAGTATGACACAATATCTGTAAGACACCCTGTAAATATTTTGGACAGAGTATTCAGACGAGCGGTACGGGAGTGTTTAGAGTCAGTCAAATCACCATTCTTAGGGAGAAGTATAGTTCGACTTTTGCATTATCATCATTATTATTATTATTATTATTATTATTATTATTAGTTACAGATTAAAATTTAAGAAATGCAGTGAAGAGAGTTTGGGTGATCCTGGCACAGTCAGGCTGGTAAGGCTCACCATCAGGTCAGGGCCCAGAACATTTTGGAGAATGTGAAGACTCCCAAACACTGCAGCCTTCTGCATTACCCAGATTGTCAGAAGGGCTGTATACCTGGTAGCTAACCCGGATACTGTCCCAATGTCAGTCAACAGATTGGGAGGTACCAAACCTAAGCCACCGAGAAAAATGTGGAGTCGGACAACTTGGTACTTGGGGTGCAAGTGTGACATTTCGAAAGCGAGGTCTGCATATTTGCCATGTTTTTCCTCAATCTTGTCAATCACATTTCTCTCAAAAAGACAGAAAATGCAATGATACAAATGATTTCATTGAATTTATAAAAAAGGACAAGATCAGGTTTGTTGGCCTGGATATGTCTGAGGCTGTATACGGGCCTATTCCAAAGGATTTTGTATTTATCATTTTCCATGACGCCCTCTACATATTCAGGGTCGTACCAAGCATGGACCTCTGTGTCAAAACCACAAGCATGGCGAAGACGGTAATAAAATGATCGAGCCACCCCATCATGTCGCTTAAGATACTGTTGTTGTTGTTGTTATTATTATTATTATTATTATTATTATTATACAACCTTGAAACAGTATGCCAACTAGAAGAGTACCTTCAGGTGGCCCTACCTGATATAACTTTGAGTTGCCATAGAAACGTAGGTTGTTAAAATCTGAAGGGTTCTTTGCTTGTGCTTTGTCCAAGTTAAATCTGGCGAATTTGTGTGCCAGACTTGACGTGAACACAATCCTGCAGTCGTCCCCCGAGGTCTTCATTATAGGCAGCAGATGGGCGACAATCAGGAAGTGGCCCAGGTAGTTCACCTGCAGGGACGAACACCCAGGTTTGATGTTGTGCGGGCAATGGTCGTGGAGATTAGGAATAAATTAGTGTTTGACGTATTAACAATGACGTTGATTAGAACCAACAACGGGGAATGATTAAGAATTCTACCTTCATTAATAATTTTATGAGAAATGTATCGTAAATACGTTGTCAGTAAATGCATGAACGTAAGAAATCACAAGGATGAAATAACGGTAAACTAGAGCAACTAGCCTAATAAGACACGCATGTTAATTATAGGAATCCATCGATATCTGTATTCGTAATGAAAGGGTCGTCAGGTGCAATGCAGGCGTACATTAGGTTATTTACATCGACTACCTAAATATTTTGATTGATAATACATGAATGTTTCCAATATTACCAGAGGGTGGTTTTGTGTATGTCAGACAAAATTCACATACATGTTCTTGCCTACAGACGTCCCATTTACCTGGAAGTGCAGTTCATACCCGTCGTCTGTGATCTCTGAAACAGACCAGATCAAGTTGATGAACACTACGGTGCTGAGACTGTCTGGATATCTTTGTACGTCTCCTTGGAGTGAGTGAGTGAGTGAGTGAGTGAGTGAGTTTGGTCTTCTCCCGCTTTTAAAGGTGTATGGGATAGGAGCACCGTATTTCACAAATATATTTTCAGTTTATACCATGTGTTGAGTTGTGTTGTGCCTGCGTGAGTGCGTGCGTGTGTGTGTGAGAGAGAGAGAGAGAGACAGAGAGAGAGAGAGTGTGTGTGTGTGTGTGTGTGCGTGCGTGCGTGCGTGTATGTGTGTGTGTGTGTGTGTGTGTGTGTGTGTGTGGTTGTTGTTGCTTGTACTATTCTGGACCGTATACCGAGCCGGCCAGTCCTTGTAGTTGTATTAGCCCTTCAAAACCAAGCGCCAGGAAGGGTAACAACCCGTACGGGCAGACGCTCTATCCACTAGACCACGGAGGCGTTCTCCGAACAGATTCGCTGGACCACGTAGATGTTTAATGGTCCGAAATTTGCTGCACAGGGCTGTGTATAAGCGCGAAAAATACGGAAACGATTCTCCCAATGGAGACAGTTACTCGCATTACATAATCATCAAGATTTGCAATCTGTCAAGATACATTTCAAGTATGTCTTCAAAATCCGAAATGTATTTATATAAGATTATCAATCTTGTAAAAAATGATCCTGAGCACTATAGTATGCACTTCATGTATTTGGGTCTGTGGCCATTCATACAAAACATTTTAATTTGAACACGTTTATCTATGGTGTTAAAACTATAGAAACTGACCCATGACCTTTGTGATGTCATGTGCGTATTGGTGTCCTCAGTATTTGACCTCCTTGTACTTTGACCCAGCGTCACACACAACCTAGTGACGTGTCACACCGCATATACATACTTACTGTAATGAACACCCATTCGAGACAAACACGTTTAATTTGTTGTGGTTTGTCAATATTGTAACATCATAAGAAACAATGCTTAATTACCAAGTAGTTGGGCTTACAGCAAATTCGATCAATGCATTAGCTATACATTAAGCTAATCCCCTGTTTAGAATTATATGTACCTCTTTCCGTAGCCGCCAGACCAGCATTACACAACAGGACATGGAGTTTCCGCCCGGAAGACTTGAATGCCTCTATGAAGTCCATGGTTGATTTCAGAGAAGCCAGATCCAGCTTCATGAACTCTACAGGGAGTTTGTCTTCATTTATATGTCCTTCCTCCAGCTTGCCGTGTGCTTTGATTTGTTCATAATCTTCATTCATCCTTTTGATTGCCTTCGATGATAAAAATAGCCATGATAAGAATATTGATAAAAATTGTGAAACACAAAAAGTCAATGTTTGTTTAAACGCCGCACTCAGCAATATTCCAGCAGTATGACCGAGGAACCATTCCGAATTTCCGACAGTAAGTGAACATCAAGAAACTCACGGTTAATCGTCATAAAGATCTTAAATCATAACAATGTGTCTTCGGAATGAATGCTTACGTTCCCAATCTTTATTTTGTTGATTTTGATTTAATCACAAAATACGAGTCGAAGATTAGCATCAAGATTTGACGTAAAGAAAGTATTTCATTGTTTTACACACATCACCAGTTTATTGTTGCCAGACGGCCCGTGAAGATCCGGGGTAGAATAGGTCTTCAGCAACCCATGCTTGCCTTAAAAGGCGACTTTGCTTGTCGTAAAGGCGACAGACGGGATCGGGGGTTCAGACTCGCTGACCTGGTTGATGCATGTCATCGTATCCCAATTGCGTGGATCGATGCTCATGATGTCAATCACTGCATTGTCTGGTCCAGACTCGATTATTTACAAACCGCCGCCATATAGCTGGCATATTTTTTTTTTATTTTTTTTTTTTTGGTTCCTGGTAAAGGTACATCATGTTTTGATAAGAGTCAAAATACATGACCAGGGTTTTTTAAGAAAGTACATATCATTCACACACATCCATACACACATTCACACTCATAGCTGGCATAGCTGGCATATTGCTGATTGCGGCGTTAAACAACATGTCACACAAAACAAACCACAACCATTGTTGCCAGACAACTTACATCAGTGGCTCTCTGTTCGGAGCGACAGGCAATAATCACTGTAGCCCCCATCATAGCAATGTGTTTTGCAGTTTCATAGCCAATCCCTAGAAAGAAAACATGGACCCCTGTTATGAATAAATGATAACTTCTTGTTTATTAGTGACCTCATGAATCACTACATCGGGGTTAGTCAAGGGATTGCAATTCGTTTTACCGAAATACAAAACTGACTAGTCATCCCTTTACTTGAAATACAGGCCTCGTTATTAATGTTAATATGAATATAAGGGGGTACGGGTGGCCCAGTCGTCTAAGGCCCCGCGATTCGCTGTGCAGAGTTGCGTCCCTTGGGCAGGCCGGAAACCTATTATTGTGGGTTCGAATCCCGGTTCGCTTCGATTATGTTTCTAGGTTTGTCAGCACCATACCCCTGCCCGTGGGTTTCACTGAAGTGGTGAACGTCTGAGACCTGCATCACTTCGGGCTTTCCTCCCACATTAAGCTGACACGCCGCGATATGACTGGAATACTGTTAAAAGCGGCGTTAAACCCAACTCACTCACTCACTATTACGAATATACACTTGTACGGTGAGTAAACAATACTTATCCGAGCGATAGACCTTTATAAAAGCTCCAAATTAACGAGAATTAAGTTTACATATATGTAGTGTATTCATATCTGGGAACGTATCGAGCGGGTATAACTGCAGTTTGAGGAAAACGAACAGCGTAGTCGTCATCATATATGGTATAGTGTGGGTCAGTGAAAAAGAAAATGGAGGATCACATTGTGATCACTTGTCTGTGATTTTACGTCAGCCACGTCCAACCGATGTAGATAATAACACTCAAAGGGAGACAACTCTATTCACATTCACACAACCTTTGTACTTTGAGCTTTGTGTCAGATTACGCAATCAACATAGCAATATCTAGCCATAGTGTATATGGCAACGCTGCATTACGTTTACAAACATTATAACACTGGTTCTCAGCCATTCGTCACCACTCGCCCCTTTCCGTAACCTGCAAGAAGACTCGTCCCCCTTATCGATGAATGTTATGTGCGAAAATACGACAAACCAATCAGAATGCGCGTATGATTTCAGGTTCTTCGTCAAAGAATCCCTCAGAAATAATTTTTGATTTTATATATGTCTCGCTATTCGGCTTGTCCCGGAATAACACGAGTTCGTCACGAATGGTCCTCAGCTAGACTCAATGCATTACGAACCGGCATGACAATAAACTATTCGAAGCACATACCTGTATTGCCACCCGTTACAACAACGATCCTCTCTCTCGGCAGTGAGACCACGGGAAAACTCGGTGAAGCTCCCATGTCTGTTGTTCACTGTTATTCGTCCACGATGATGGTAAAATTGTATCTCTGTTTTGTCAGTCACAAATTACAAGATGAGCTAGTTCGTCTCTATCAACGACGTACGAGCTGCCTTGAGTCACCTGAGTTAACTATCTTGCTGAGTCATGTTAACTGACTGGCTGAAAAGATAGCTAGCTACCTGAAAGGAAATCTCTGCTGACGAGGTTACGGCGTGTTACTCACCCAAGCGGGTATAATACTTACTCTGACATTACATATATCATTCATACAGGAGCGGTCAATGCATTTCATGGAAGTGTTGAAAATACTGTACATGCATTCTGAGAATAAATAAAATAAATAAATAAAAAAAAATAAATAAAAAAAAAAATAAAAAAAAAATAAAATAAATAAATAAATAAATAAATAAATAAATAAATAAATAAATGTATTACTGTTGAGAGAGATTACGTAGTTGAAACATAAGCCAGTGTTTATGCATGCGTGACAGATTTAAGCGACATCATTAAGTGATATATATACAGTGTAAAGTCAGTGTGTTTGAGTGACATACACAATGTAGGTTTCTAGCTAGTGTGTGAGTCAAGAAGAGGATAGTTGTGTTGCATACACATGTATATAAATATATACAGTCAACATTTGGAAGGGCTATGTTTAATAGCATTTTTGGAATGATTGTGCCTTGGCAGCCTTGTCATTCTATTGGCCTGGCACAGCCGACACACGTTCCAATGTCCGGGTGTATTTAACAGAATGGAATGTTCCAGTAGGCCACGACAGTTGAGCAGTACGATTACTTGTGTATACATTTGAAACAGCATTGTCATCATGACTGCGTTACTAAATGTGGATTCGGTAAACTGCGGTTAAAACGAACGTAAAGAGACCACTAGATTTAGTTCGTTATAACCGTAGTTCGTTGTAAGCATATATACAGGAAATGGTTGGGACCCAAAAATAAATTCATTAGATCCGTCAGTTCGTTATAACCGTAGTTCGTTGTAAGCATATATACAGGAAATGCTGGGGACCCAAAAATAAATTCATTAGATCCGTCAGTTCGTTATAACCGTAGTTCGTTGTAAGCATATACACAGGAAATGGTTGGGACCCAAAAATAAATTCATTAGATCCGTCAGTTCGTTATAACCGTAGTTCGTTGTAAGCATATACACAGGAAATGGTTGGGACCCAAAAATAAATTCATTAGATCCGTCAGTTCGTTATAACCGTAGTTCGTTGTAAGCATATACACAGGAAATGGTTGGGACCCAAAAATAAATTCATTAGATCCGTCAGTTCGTTATAACCGTAGTTCGTTGTAAGCATTTATACAGGAAATGGTTGGGACCCAAAATTAAATTCATTAGATCCGTCAGTTCGTTATACGCGTGTTCGTTATAAACGTAGTTTACTGAAGTTTATATGCAGTATGTGAATTTTGTTACTCTGGTAGCGTTACAAAATGTCGCTAAGTTAATTTCAATTTCAAATCTTTATTGTATGAAAGGCCACAGGCCTTTGCACAACGGAGTTACATAAACTATTATATAAGATACAAAGTCAAGGTAACAATATACTTCGTAACACAAAAGTGCATGTAGTATGTGCATGAAGTTACTGTGACAAAATATAGCCATATATACTCACCAACAAAAGAAACGCGAATATCATACATGTTAGTTAATATGTGACGAATTACTCCTATTTCAGAGACATTAGATTGGTTCGATGCACAAACGAACAAATACTGTCATGTTGTGTGAACCAACATTATTTACAGACCGCCGGCATATAGCTGGGATATTGCTGAGTGCGGCGTTAAACAACACATAAACCAAACAAACAAACAAACAAACAAGATAATGCCTATCCTTTTGGTCCTTTCCTTTTCCTATTCTGTTCCACAGTAATGGAACTCTTTACAAGGGGACAAAAGACGTTCTTACCTCCAAGCCTTCAAATCAAACTAGGGGCGGTCGGGTAGCCTAGTGGTTAAAGCGTTCGCTCGTCACGCCGAAGACCCGGGCTCGATTCGTGCCATGGGTACAATGTGTGAAGCCCATTTCTGGTGTCCCCCGCCGTGATGTTGCCGGAATATTGCTAAAGGCGGTGTAAAACCATACTCACTCACTCACTCAAATCAAACTTGGAAACCTATCTTTTCAAGAAAGTGACCTACACGTTTCCTTGGCAGTGCTATGAGCAACTTCTCTGTTGAATGGAAGCTAGAGCCGGAGTTACAAGTAGACTACAGATTATATATTATCCTATATTTCATCCTGGCCTAAGCTGTCGTGATGCGTTTTTAGAATGTCGTTGAAATAGCTTGCTCATTGCTCATTTTCCAATTGATTGATAACAAAGTGTTACGTTACGGATCGTCGAGCATTATACAGTCAGGTCACACGAATTAGTAATACGTTATATTGATACACTGTGAAATTAGGGCAGTATTTCTCAGGAAGGATTGAGGTAATGATATAGTGTCATATGCAGGCACTGAAAGAATTAAAGGAGGCGATTTATTCACGTGGTGGAAAGGAAATTGACGTAAACTCAAAACATCAATGCCAAAGAATAAGCAGTCTCGATTACCTGACGAAACAGATTCCATAGGGCGTGAAAGGCAAATAATTGATGTCAATGAACGTATACTGAAATGGATGTTCATGTCGAGCAGTATATCATTAGCTCCAGTTTATGGCGTCTACATGTCTCACTTACTTAGATACTTTTATTTAGAGCATGTGCATTTTATGCAAATTTCACTATATATCACACTTCACTTCAACAAGGTGCGCGATCCTGTCCATACATGACCTTTACGCGGAGGGAAATGTCCGAGCAACTCTCCTTTCCTTAAATATAATGGAGCCTGGAGCCAAGGCCCATTACTTCTAAGGAATGGAGAGTTACGAGGATATTCCCCAACCTAAAACACATCCCTACTTTTGCTCTTTGACAAAACATTCTCTTTTGTAAAATATTTGAAAAATAAACCTGAACTCTTTGTAGACTGTATTTATACTGAGTGACTCGCCCTTGCGTGATGCACGAGGAAAACGTTCTCTGCTGCTGTTGCGCGTGCGCCAAGATCCGTCGCGAGCTGATATTCACAATGCATGGTACACGGCTCTTCATAATTTCGTAGGGACCTAAACCAGTATTGTATCAATCGCTTGCAAGTTGTAAATGCATGCTGATAGGGATTGTAGCAAATGTAGAGCCCTGAACAAGGATATATATGTTTACCTGAATATTTTTCTCGTCAAAGGTTTAAATTGCTTTATATAATTATGAACATTGTCATCATGCTGTAACACGAGCTCATGTACATATGTGTTTCAGCGTTTAAGGAGTATGCAAACATTTGAAGATATTTAATAGTTAATTATAATACCGTACTGTCATGTTTCGCCGAAGCTGAGGTCGGCAATTGGACATACTCAAATCGAAAACAACTGTCCATCCCTGAAAAATAATGGAGTTTTTAAACAGCACTAGGGCGTCACAGATGTGTTTTAAATGAAGTTTTCACACCTTAAAAATTACTCACCGGCACTTACTTCCTTCATGAAAACTTTGTGAATGGTGGGTGGTACCGTTCGAGCAGGAACATCATGTTTACCTTTTCTCGAACACCTGGTGTTATTAATCACTGATTTTCAATGATCCATTTATATCATTAGCATCTCCTTGACTTTCACGCCCGATGGAATCTGTTTCCTAAGACACTAGCGACACTTTTATCAACGAGTGTTGATATATTTGATATAAAAAAACACGAGGGTGAGATTTTATTTATCATCCAACATCATTCTTCCAACTTTTTCAGTTTGTAGACAGTAATAAGCATTGTCTTAAAGTACTGCTTACGGCTTCAGTAGCAGAGCCATTAGTGATGTCATTTGATTGTGACGTCATGATAACAATGACGTCACAATGGTCTGCAAAGCATTGTGATGCAATTTCATTGCAGCGATATCTACAGTGTAGATATCGCTTGATCTCACCCAAGCGATATCTCCTGTGGGAGTCGGTTTTGGATGTCGGTTTGGGTTTACCTGTTTCTCAAATGCAATTATTATTGGTATATATTTTCCACTTAGTTGTGTGACCTGGAGATTTCATGTCATCATGAATCAGTACACAAGCAAACGTACAAAAACATGTATTAATTTTCATCGGAGGAGATGTAAGAGACGCAATAATGCTACAATTAACATATGACAGGTCTTGGAAAACTGTTTTTAATCTTCCATCTGACATTCGATGATATCCAAAACAACTACAACTACATGCTATTGTCGCGAAAACTTTGCATTTGACTAAAAGGAGACACTACAAAACTCTTGAAAAATGGAAACTCAATTTATTGCATACGAAGTCTAGTATTGCCTGTCTAATAGACCGGCTTATACAAAACAATGATCTGACGTTACAAGTGTCACATCACATGTAATAACAAAATGTATTGAGGACAAGGTATTCCTGAGATTAACCTGTGGGGAATCCCCTTGGACTCTGATGTTCTACAAGACGGCATGTGTGGACAAACGAGTCCCGCCATCAAAAAACCCACGTCGATACTCCATCACAAACCCTACCTCGAAACTCCATCACAAACCCCACGTCGAAACTCAATCTCCAAAACCCGATCTCCGAACTCGGTCCCGAATGACAACACAGACTAACGACCATGTTGTTCACAGGCTCTATTAACAAGGCGCTTGACCGCCCGGCTTAGCGATGAGACCAAAAAACGTCCTGTTCATGCACGGGTTCCTGAATATTATGACTTGTGTTAATAACTTTGTCTTTTTAACAGTTGCCTTAAAGGAAGCATTCGAGCGATACCCAAAGATTGAAAGGCCATAACACGTGAGAATGGAATTTGTTTTCTTCACACGACACCAGTATTATAGCTACAAGTGATAACCAATGTGTATAGGACTGAATGACGATCAAAATAGCACGATAATGTAAACCTCATGTGGCGACAGTGCAGCGCTTGGGGTAATCGCTCGATGTCTACCTTTGAAGATTGAGCATGTATTTGGTTTCTGGGGTACAAATTTCTTGTCGTTACTGGTAACCATCTTGAGGCACATCCAGTGATGCAGTGATATCTGGGGGAAGATATTGCTTCAGACACTCTACAGAATAGTTCCATAGATCTTCCTGATATTGTTCATTTCTGAAACAAATGTTTGAAGTGCTTTAAATGCTTTTAAAACTAAAATATTAATACCAATACTAATTATAATAATGTGTTCATATATTGCGTTAGACTCTTTGCACAAGGCGCAAAGCGCTAACATTATTGCCCAGGTCAATGGATCGGTGAGTGCTCGATTTTCATTCCCAGCTCCCTGGGAAGTATGCAACCCAAGCTGTCTTGAGGCGGTAGAACGTTAACAGCCATATGACCATCCTCCAAGATACCCATTTCCTGCTGGGTGAACAGAGGCACAGTTCGAACAAAGTCACTTGTCACCACATGTGCTTCAGTGTTGGGCAGGACTAGAAACTCTCAGAAGTCAAACTGCCAAACGCGGTCACCCATCCAGCTCCTCTCCGCGACCGACGTTACTTAACTTCACCCGACTTGTGACCTGTGCGCTGTGCACAAATAAGCATCATATGCAATCAATGCATGATACAACTATGTACAATTAAACATATCAATGCGTGGCCCAGTTGTCAAAGGAGCCACAAATCGCTTACTTGAGGTCCATATGGTACCAGGATCCTATAATCTCGTGTTCATATCTCAGTTTCGCCATGATGGTGATTATAGTTTGTCTAGCCCAATGTTCTCGCGAATTTCGATTTCACAAATTACAAGGGTGACCCAGTCGTCTAAGGCGCCGCGATTCGCTGTGCAGAGAAACCTATGATTTTGGGTTCGAATCCCGGTTCGCCCCGATTATGTTTCTAGGTTTGTCAGCACCATACCCGAGCTCGTTGTTTTTACCGAAGTAGTAAACGTCTGAGACCTGCATCACTTCGGGCTTTCCTCCCACCTTAAGGTGACACGCCGCGATATAACTGGTATACTGTTAAAAGCGGCGTTAAACCCAACTCACTCACTCACTCACAAATTACAGTGGTAAAGGTCTAAGACATGCATCACTTTAGCTCTAACTTATACAAAAGCTGACAAGCCGTGATACAACCGGAGCACTGTTCAAAGCGGCGTTGAACCAAACCCACTCACTCCCCCGAGTGAACAGGTTGTGAGAACGGAAACAAATGTTCTCCCTGAACGTACCTGGAAAGTCGGGCTATGGACGCTGATTTACAGTCAACAAAGTAAACATCCTTTACGCCTTTATTCTTCGGGTTCACAGCCAAGTCAACCAACGTCACCGCCCCTTGATATGGCGTTCGTAGAACTTCTGAAATTGACAAAACATACATTTCAATCGTAAATAGCACAATGAACAGCACTTTTGATACGTTTTGTTTGTTGTTTAACGCCGCACTCGGCAATATTCCAGCTATATGACGGCGGTCTGATATAATCAAGACTGGACCAGACAATCCAGTGATTGACATCATCTACACAGTTGGGATACTTTGACATGCATCAACCAAGCCTCTTACAACAACCACGGGTTCATGAAGATCAATTCTAACCTCTGAATGCAACGAGACCAGTAAATATTTATGCTATGTATTTACCTCGATACATTTTGTCGTGAATTTAAAAGTTTATTAGGAATTAGCACGAAGGTAAAATAAACGATGTATGTATTTGTAACACAATACACGCTGGTAAGAGCTATACTGAATTCATCATTTTCATGTAATGGACAGAGTCATCGCGATACACCTATCCGATTAACTTTGTATCACGACCAGATGAATACAAATATTACTGTATCCTGCCCCATCGGGGGCACCCGTCACAAACACACGAAAAGGCAAGTCAATTTGGAAGTCAAACAAACACGGCAACATATGTAACAAGCCACTTTGGTCCCATTTCCTGTTCAGGTGGGTAAATCAGTGGAAGGGAATTGACTATTTGACCGTCATTGAAAGACATCAGGAGATCGATATCCCAGAAGCGTAAGTAAAACTTCTTGGCCAAATTTCCTTTTTTTTATTTTGCTGATCCGAGCAGGATCATCCGACTCGAATGATTGAAGAAACAACTCAGCAAGGAGGGGGGTTCGCTTGGTGTCCATGATGTCACACCGCTATACTTACAGTGAAATGAAGATGAAATAATGTAAAGTTACTCACTCATACTGTCAAGACAACTGACTAAGCACGAGAAACACTTCAAATCACTGTAGTTCCTCGTGATCTCGGTGGAGACAGTACCCGGATGCATTGACGTCACAGTGACGTCACTTCCTCTCAGTCGGCGTGATAGACAGAACATGTGTTGAATCTATAATACAGGCATAGCGTTACAAACACAGCTGAAAACAATTATAATCGGGAAAAGAAACTTAAGCACTGCTTACTATATATTTCCCCCTAAAATAGTCATTTTTAAAAAAACCCATTTAGTTTGGTTTAGGGCTTTTCCCGAGCTCAAGGTTTTTCATTTTCAACCAAAACCGAGGGGGCGTGTTTTATCCAACTTATGAACCCTCTAAATGCAAGAAATACCAGAAAAAATAAGAAATATCGACAAACCTTATAGTGTTCAAAACAACATAGTGTTTCAAAGGTATAAAAGGAATTCGCTCAAAGCGTGCTAGAGAAAAAACACGTGCAGCATGGACTAGCTGGAGTCATGACAGGATAACCTTAACAACCTCTTATTATCTGGTCTGGGAGCTTAATGGGAAATTAGTGGGTTACAAAACTTAACAAGATTCAAGTTCCGGTCATTTGTTGTATATATGCTCTGTTTATGCTTATAACGAACTACGGTTATATCGAACTAAAATTAGTGGTCCCTTTGAGTTAGTTAGTAGTCAGCATCCTTGAATAAATGGTATATGTGAAGATGTTTGAAATTTTATTTCATATTGAAATTGTATTTATAGAAAGAAAGAGGCTCGACAAATCAGTACACGTAGATCTCGCACCTGATACATCTTTGAGTTGGAATAGTAAAGCATTCGTCCATAGTCAGATGGATTTTTGGCTTGGGCCTTCTCAAGGTCAAACCTTGCTCCTTTGTGTGCCAGACTTGACGTGAACACAATCCTGCAGTCTTCTCCCGAGGTCTTCATTATAGGCAGAAGATGGGCGACAATCAGGAAGTGGCCCAGGTAGTTCACCTGCGATGACAAACACCCAGGTTTGATGTTGTGCGGGCAATGGTCATGGAGAATAGGAATAAATTAGTGTTTAACGTATCAACAATGCCGGAGAATGATGTGTTAATGTGTATGTCCTTGTGTAGCCAAGATGATTTATCTTTACCTGAAAGTGCGTCTCATACCCATCCTCTGTGTGGCCTGAAAGTAAGATACCAAAATGATAGCTTGATCACAGTATTTTTAAGCTGTTTTTTACGACGTTATCCATTTAATCAGAAAAATAACCTTCCAATAGACGAAAACTTCCCATAGTGTGTTTGCGACATCGCACACAGCATTGTTCCAGCTGTAGATGATCGAGCCTAGACCAGACCAGCCTGGCGCATCAACTATCAGTGGATCCTGTCAGTGCTAAGGTACACAACTCTGTACATCCTACCTCTCGGTACAACCGCCAGACCAGCATTACACAACAGGACCTGGAGTTTCCGCCCGGAAGACTTGAATGCCTCTATGAAGTCCATGGTTGATTTCAGAGAAGCCAGATCCAGCTTCATGAACTCTACAGGGAGTTTGTCTTCATTTATATGTCCTTCCTCCAGCTTGCCTTTTGTCCTGTCGTCTTGATATTCTTCATTCATCCTTCTGATGGCCTGAAAGTGAAATACGCCGACTGTTGGGGGAGGGGAGGTAAAATGGCGTTCACGACTATTGCACTGACATAGTGACCTTCTTGCACGCGTCCGTGCGTGCGTGCGTGCGTGCGAGTGTGTCTGCTTATACAAGTCCGAACAAATGTCAGTTTTAAAGTTTTACGGCCCAATGAGATACATGTATATTAAGTATTTTTAGCAAGTTATATATTTCTGTTCTAAATAGAAGGTTGCAGTCCTGGTGTGATGCCTATGATAAAGTTGTGGAGACTTCGTTGTGGCTATTCCACAATTGATAATATGTTTATTTTACAGTCAGTTAAACAGCGTTATCTGGGGAAGAAGCGAGGTAAACTATATGCTTTATTTGTAGACTTCTCCAAAGCGTTCGACTCTATAAACAGATCAAAACTATGGATAGTTTTGAATAACAGTGGTGTATCACCTAAAATGTTTAAATGTATACAATCCATATATACGACTGTACGTTTCTGTGTAAAGTTTAACAATAGCTTCTCAGATCTATTCGAATTGTGACTTGCGTGTCCGTCAAGGCTGTGTGCTGAGCCCGTTTTTGTTTTCATTGTTAATCAATGATCTAGCTGTTGAAATTGAGGCTAACTGTGAACCCGGAATTCAGCTCCATCCAGACATAATTCAACTTTTCCTGCTACTCTTTACTGATGATGTAATTCTTATATCAGATACCGTATATGGCCTCCAAAAACGCAGCGATGTACTCGAACACTATTGCCAGAATTATTTCCTAAAGTTGAATCTTGATAAATCGAAAATAGTAGTTTTTAAGAATGATGAAGTACTTTCTAGATCTGAGAAATGGTATTTTAGTGGTTGTCAGTTGGAATGTGTATCATCGTACAAATATTTGGGAGTTGTATTTTCAAAGAATTTATGATGGTCGAAACATACTTACAGTGCTTCATTACAGGCTAAACGGGTATTGTTCTCGGTTCTAAAATCCCTTTCATCACTTAAAACTATTTTTTTAAATATTCGATACTAAAATTGCTCCAATTATGTTATATGGGGCTGAAATGTGGAGTTTTGAAAACTGTAAAGAAATAGAAAGTATCCATGTACTTGCTTATAAACGTCTGCTAGGTGTTAAAACGTCTACTCCCAATCATGTTGTGCGAGGAGAGTGTGGAAGATACCCACTGTACATTTCTGCGTATAAACGCTGTATAAAATATTGGTGTAAACTTGTGTCCCTCCCAAATTCACGATATCCTAAGAAAAGTTATGATATGTTATTTCAGCAAGCCACACATGGTAAAACTAATTGGGCTACAAAAGTCAAAACTCTTTTATACAGTCTTGGATTTGGATATATATGGGAGAACCAATATGGTATTTGCCCCGAATAATTTATTTCCGAATGTGAAGATCGGTTAAAATTTGCTTACGAACAGGATTGGCATTGGTCTTTAGCAAATAGTTCTACAATGTTCCATTATACACTTTTAAAAAATTCATTTAGTCCAGGGTTGTATTTGTCTATCACTATAAACAAATTTCGTGTTGCACTAGCCCAGTTTCGCTGTAGCTCCCACACTCTCCACATTGAGACTGGTAGATACGTTAATACTCCACGAGAGCAGAGATTGTGCAATAGTTGCAACCAAAGATATGTCGAGAATGAATATCATTTTTTACTAATTTGTAATGCCTATGATGAACTCCGTCTTCAGTATTTACCACAGAAGTATTTTATACACCCTTCTCTTGCTAAATTCAATATGCTTATGGCGGTAAACAATGAAACTGTTATTAGAAATGTTGCAACTTTTATATACCATGCTATGAATGTTAGACTCCAAACACTTAGCCTATAAATGTTAATGATGGACCAAATATTGTACCATGGGCCGCTGGCCTACACATGTACATGAATAAAGAATTGAATTGAACACAGTATATTGACTCCGACCCGACCAGTCCTTGTTTTGTCCCCTAAACGGCTAGACAGGCAGGGTAACAACAAGTACCATATGTTAACGTCTTGTGGTATGACGCAGCCGGATTGAAACCACCGACCTTCCACTCTCCTGGCAGACTCATTCCCTTCTAAACCACGGAGGACTGGTGTTAGAACTACCAGGGGTGTTTATATCGTGTTACAACTGTTTCCAAAGACACACAGCACATGTCCATATTTATTGTAATCTCGGAGTTCCTCCATTTGTCGTTAAACAATTAGCTGTATGAGGGTAAATATAATTGTTTTAAATCTAAAATCAAATTCTTTTGGATACTGGAATACACCTCATGGTCATGTGTTTTGTTTGGACGCTACGTTTAGTTTTGACACCAGATACAAAAAATAACAGTTCTAAACATTACAGTCACTTAAACGAAGTTCCTTGTACAGGAGCACAACACTGCTGTGCCACACCCCTCATCTCAGGTAACGGACGTTGTGACCAGCATATACCTTACTTAATAACAAACAAAACAAACATGTCAAAAACTTATATCAGTACGATCGACTGGTGACGTTCTGTTTGACACATTTAAATACCGAATATGTTTTCACTATTTTCCTTATAATATTTGGGACACTAATACGTACTTAAAGTGTTTCTCTTAACATAATTAAAAAACATAAAATGTCTGCATGTTTCCATTTATCATGATGGAATGTACAATTAGGTACATACTTCACGTACTAGCACCATACCGTTTAGACGAATTACCATTTACTTAAGAGAGTGAGTGAGTAACTTGGGTTCAACGCCGCATTCAACAGTATTCCAGTTATATCACGGCGTGTCAGCTTGATGTGGAAGGAAAGCTCGAAGTGATGCATGCCTCAGACGTTTACCACCTCGGTGAAACCCACGAGCACGGGTAAGGTGCTGATAAACCTACAAACATAATCGGGGCAAACCGTGATTCGAACCCACAATCATAGGTTTCTGCGTGTCCAAGGGCCGCAACTCTGCAGAGGGAAGAGCGGCGCCTAAGACGACCTGGCCACCCGTAAGACTGACGCACAAAAATCTGGTGACCTCGTTTACACAGGTATCTCATGTCAAATTCAGTTGATCACTAAATTAATGACAAACATAATATATATATTTGACACACCCATAGAGCTCTCTACGAAGATTGAATTGAATTGGACATCTGATGCGTGTGCATTTAAAACAAAAATTAACGGAATAAAGATATATACTCACATCAGTGGCTCTCTGTTCCGAGCGACATGCGATGATCACCGTAGCACCCATCATTGCGATGTGTTTAGCCGTCTCGTAACCAATACCTAAATGATCATTATTCAGACCAATCATGGTATAATATCATCATATCGTTAGATTGAGTGAGTGAGTTGGGTTTAACGCCGCTTTTAACAGTATTCCAGTTATATCGCGGCGTGTCAGCTTAATGTGGGGGGAAAGCCCGAAGTGATGCAGGTCTCAGACGTTTACCACTTCGGTGAAACCCACGAGCACGGTGCTGACAAACCTAGAAACATAATCGGAGCGAACAGGGATTCGAACCCACAATCATAGATTTCTGGCATGCCCAAGGGGCGCAACTCTGCACAGCGAATCGCGGCGCCTTAGACGAATGGGCCACCCGTGCCCTTCATATCGTTAAACAGTAATAAACGCAGGATGTATTTTCTCATCCTTTTCTCGAAAACTTAACACAGGAAGTACATGTATACCACTCCACGTTTTATTGGGACACTGTCATCTTTCTAGGAAAAACAAATCTTATTCTTATAATTTTTCAAGATTACATGTAAGTAGAATGACATATCTGATCATCATTTAGGATACATCATAAAGAGGAACACTGTCCTCGTTAACTCCCCTGGCGGCATTACACCAAAAGACGTTAAAAAGTGTTAACCTGCCTGGCGAGGTATTGCGTTAAGGGGATTAAACAAGTACTGGTCGACTCGGACGGCCTGAGAGGGGTATCCATATGTGAAAGAGTGAGTAGTGGTTTCTATGTGCCGTGTGTCGATAAGTGGCGAGATCCTTTGCCATAAGAGTAGATCAGTCAAAACACACACACACACTCACACACACACACACACACACACACACACACACACACACACACACACACACACACACACACACACATATATATATGACTAACATGCCAATATAAATATTCAGTCATCTTGAACGCAACGTTAAACCCTGTACACAAAGGGAGGTAACTCTTTTTTATGTTTACATGTTTCGTCATGCGGAAATGCGGACACATTATATAAACTCGGTTCTGGGCTTACACAAGCTCAGGTGCATCTTCATATCTTCATTTACTTGTTATATTAATGTTACATCCTTCATAATCTAGATTGTGCCTTCACGATTTGTTAGATACAGAAAATATAAAATGTCTGCAACAGGAAATATAGATACGGATGCGGCGATTCTCAAAGCACGAAGGAAAAGTTACCTGCTTTGATCACATGCCTTAAAACCTACCTGTGTTGCCGCCAGTGACCACGACGATTCGGTCCCTTGGGAGCGAGACAACAGGAAAACTAGGTGAAGACCCCATTCGGAAGTTTACACAATTTATGACCAACAGTACTTTCTGCAGACGCACATAAACTGTATTAATTAAACATCCTGCGACTGGTATGAATGTTGTTGTGATGAGGTTTCATGGCATGGGTAGATGTCACCGACTCAACCCCGATCACCTTCTGTCGTTATATCAAGTACCGGGCACATGACCTCGGTGCGACTTGTCGAGTCTTTATTGTACCAAGCGATAAATGATCTATAAATATCTTGTGAACAACATCACGTTGTACGTTGCTAGCCTGCAAGAGTTGCGTCCCTTATAACACAAGCAACACGCTGTTCGTCTTGCGCTGTGACTTTATATACGGTATATATATTTATATACATTTAAACTGGATTATACAGATAAGTTTTCAGTACTGGCAAAACTAAAGAGTACACTTTAATGGATTAATCTGTATTTCATTTCAGATATGCACAACAACATTGCTACTCTCTTGTGAACAGGTCAATAAACAATACATACTACTTTTTTTGTTGAACATGCATGTCCGTTGTATCATGCGCACCCCCTTCTATGGTATTCAGTATTTTGGGGGAAAAAAATCGAGTATTATGAGCAGAATTTATTTAAGTCTTTGGAAGGCATTTGGAAGTAATTGTTTTACATCGTATCCCTACAGCAAACCACGGACTTGTATATAGGTCCGTGAGCAAACTCAGGTCAACGAATAGGTGATATATTTGGTTAATACAAATTTGAAATTTGAGATAAAACATCACTAGACATGACGATTTACCGTTTAAATTGTATTTACACTTCTACTAGGCATTGTTTCATATGCACCCGTTAAGATCCGGGTTAGAATTGGTCTTCAGCAATGATTACCCATGCTTGTCGCGAGAGGCGACTAACGGGGTCGGGTGATCAGGCTAGCTGACTTGGTTGATGCATGTCATCATATCATAAAATGCGTAGATCGATGCTCATGATATCAATCACTGTATTGTCTTGTCAAGAGTCGATTATTTACAGACCTCCGTCATATAGCTGGAATATTGCTGAGTACGGCGTTAAACAACAAACAAAACAGCGAATCGCGGCGCCTTAGACGACTGGGCCACCCGTGCCCCCTATGAAATAAGTAACAGATGTATATAATCATTTTTATTTGTCCAAATTAACATGACTGCTAGTAGTAAAATGTGCTTGAAAATGCGTCCTTGGTTTGCAAACACGACATAGCATTCATCTTCTATTCCATATTACAAAATGGGCAAACTGTTAAAGGAATATCAATCGCCTTGACCGACAAACGTGCGATCCTCATCCTAGTTCCATCAGGACGGATACCAGCTTTGCAGTTTTTCGAACCATTAACTTTACATAGGGGTGAGAACAACATGTAAAATAGTATTTGTTCTTGATACAGATGATACTTGAACATCATATAAACTGATGAGCACAGGAAGTATACCTTGGAAAATTGGATTTGATCTAGCATTGCAAACGTTATCAAAACGTTACAAGGATGACAACAACGGGACTACGAGACTAGGTCGAGTAACTGTCTTTTGTTTGTTTCATTATTAGCCACCAGGAAAGTCAACATTGGTGTGTACTTTCTTTTGCGCGGCTGTTCAGGATAGAACAATATAATGACACTGTTAGCAAGACAGAGGCTTCGGCCACAATGAATGACTGACTCGCCGAATCAATCTCAATGTTTACTCGAAACGTTATGGAATATACAGCAGTAAAACTGGACTCTATGAGGACAATGTTGGACTTTGTTTTATTCCCAGTACGTTGCTTTGTCTTGTTCGTCCAGTAAAAGCCTGTAAAAGTCGATTGTCGATTCCAGCACGCTTTGAAACCCAGTGTTTGCTGGTACACAGGTGTCTCTTTGCACATATAAATAATTGTTCAAATAATATACAAACAATGCTGCCAACCAAACACCAAATAAATAAACTATAGTATTGAATACCGGTAAATAAGCATACACTATTCTTGACATATCTACTTTGAAGTAATAATATATTGTATGACGTATTGATCCGTGAGGACTATTCGCCAAGCAACTAAATCGAAATCGTTCTGAAAAATATTGATCAAACCTAATATATAATGAATGCTGTATCCATTTCGCAGTGTAAAGCCAAGAGGATTTCACGTCCAAATCAACAACAGATTGCAGCACAGACTTTACAACGCTGACTTATGGTGCCAACGATTTCACTGAAAAATAAAAACGACCAGCGATACATTACATCCATTTTTGCATCATAGAGAGTGAGTTGGGTTTTACGCCGCTTTTAACTGTATTACAGTTATATCACGGCGTGTCAGCTTAATGTGGGAGGAACATTCATACATATTCATGCACATGTATTCTAGGAATACATTGAAATGTTAAGGTACCGTTTGTGAGATGATAAAAGTTTTTTTTACAACAAATATTAAGAATGACAATACATGATAAAGAGGTTATCACTCGTGAGTGTTTATCAGGAACGTCATAAATTAAGTACTGTTGATCCTAATATTAATTCGTCTCCAAATTAATACGACTGCTGACCCCTAGCTAACAATGCGACTCAATATCAATGCGACTCCCCACACCCCATCACCAGTAAACATATTTATTTACAAAGATAAAAGACCCACATAAGAATTTTCAAGATGGCCGCCGTGATTCACTGTAAGGCAAACTTGGCAGAATTGGCAATATGCCTGTGCCTAGCCCACCTATAGTAAAAATGTAAAGAAAAGTTCCACGGGCACTGTAGCTCACCTGGGTATGTAAGCAACAGGTTACAAACGTCAACAAGGACAGACACTTAAATAAAAGTTGAAGTCAGCATTGATATTCAACTATTTTCTGCGTAAATATTACGGACTGACAACTAACACATATCTGACGGTTTAAACCAAAAATATGTCATCTTAAGAAGTAACACACATTTTCAGATTACTCAGTCTGTCACTTTTCAGATGCGAATAAATACGTTTATAGCGCCACTAAGCCTTTAAAAGAATAGAAGAGCGTAGGTAAAACTGTCAGAATATATTGAAAAGAGAAACATGCGTTATCCCAAATACTAACGACAAATTTACCGAACTACACCACATTTGAAACAATATAGCGCCAATGCCAATGTAGCCCACTTGGGTTTGTAGACAACAGTTTACACACGTCAAAAAGGACAGACACTAAAAGAAAAGTCGCTGTCAGCATTGATATTCAGATATTCTTATAAATACTACGGAATAAGAACTAACACTAAAATGTAATGGTTCAAACAAAATATGTAAAAATACAATGCATAGCATAGGTAAAAGTGTATGTTCAAAAGTGCCATGGTCATAATATCCAGTGAAAAAGTACACATATACCAAATTTCATTACATTTTGAAACAATTCAGTGTCAATGCACTGTAGCTCAACTGAAAATCTAATTAATGGTTCAAAATGTCTACAAAGATGGGTACTTAAGAACGGCTGAAATCAGCCTTTATATTGACGTAATGTCTGCATAAAACCTGAAGAAAAACTAAAATTTGACGATTTGAACAAATTGTGTTAATATATAGAGAAACATAATCAAAGATCAGCTTACTCAATCCGGCATTTTCAGATGAGAATAAGTTTATATAAGAGAATTTGAGAGCATAGTCAAAACAAGATAAAAAGTTAATTCTTCTCTCCGAAAAGGAACACAAAACATATGAGTATTGAATCCGACAACAAAATTAACAAATAGCCAATGCAATTAGATTTTGTACAAACATGGTTCAGTAATGGCAATAAATACTTTTTCAACATTGATGCCGCGGGGGCCATATCCAAACTTCACATTCGAAACATTTGAACCTCTTCGGTCATAATTTTAAATATTGCAAACACGGAACATACGTGTATAAAGTTTCAATATTATCCTCACATATACGAAATTTCATGATATTGTGAACCAAAATGGCCGATTAATGGTCATAAAAAGGTATTTCGAAATGGCTGCTGTCGCAGTAAAATTGAAAATTGGATTCGAACCTCTTGCGTAAACTCGGTTGTCATCATTGGTTGAAACAAGTATGTGAAGGGTTAGCTTCATTTGTTCGGCTGTTTCCGATTGAGACCGGACGATGGACAAGAATGCCGTGAAAAAGCCCACTTGACTTTCAGGTGAGTAGGAGTAAAACGGTTAATCGATGCAGCTTGACACTTCGGTTCCGACGATCCAAAAACCTGGCAGATGGGTGCCATGATAGATTACCCAAGCCTATCGTCCACTGCCGATTTCACCAGATGTCATTAGGGTCCACGGCGGCACTCAAATCTAGAACTGAAAATTAAAATAATCGATTTTACAGACAGAAAGTAAATTTCGATTTCATATAGATGAATCCGTCATTTCGGTATCCAGTGTTTTTGGAAGATGTATTCGTTTGTTAAATCGTCCCAATTTACAGATTTCAGGATTAACGGATCATTGGTACGTCATGTGAATATTTTTCAGAATGTTCTAACAGTTACCCCTTTAGTCGCCTCTTACGACAAGCATGGTCGCTTTTTACGGCAAGCAAGTACACCGCACCGCACCGCACCGCACCGCACCGCACCGCACCGCACAACTACACACCACTACACACCACATCACATCACACCCTAACCCCAATTTGTTTTCTCTGTAAAAGATACCAGTTCCCAATGTCACCTGATCCATGAATTAAAGTCATTCGTAAATGCAAAACGGCATGACTGTGTTGTAAATGTTATTCTAACACATCCTACGGGATGGGTCTCACCGTCGGAAGGGTTAACGACCAGGGCTAGAGGTCCGTTTGGTTGACAGCTGCCAGCAAAACCTCCGCACAGAATGTCCACCTTGGTCCCATCCGTTGACCTGTTCACTTGTTTCCAGGCGTCAATACCAAACAGATTCCAGGTTGTCTGTCCAACAGCATGAAGAGAACGTTCATTATTTGTTTGCTTTGTCAACACAAACGCATGATTGGAAACCACTTCCAAAGGTATCAAATTGATCTCCGAATAGATGCGAAGGGAAAATACGTTTGGTTGTTGCCATCACTTAAAAAAATCAAACTGTGAAATCATGTGGGTATTCCAAGATAGAGCTTGTCCCCAGCAACCTAGAACTTGTCCTCAGCAACCTAGAACTTGTCCTCAGCAACCCAGAACTTGTCCTCAGTAACCTAGAACTTGTCCTCAGTAACCTAGAACTTGTCCTCGGTAACC